CTTGAAGACAAAGGAGTGGGCAGAGACTCATGAATAAAAACCAAACTGTACAAGAAATACTTCACAGAATCAACAACAGGGGTCTCACGTTATTGAAAAGCTTTTATATAGCAAGAGAAACCACCAGCAGGGTGAAGAGACAGTCCACAATGTGGAAGAAAATGTTTGCCAGTTGTTTCCCAGACAAAGGATTACTATAAAGAACTCAAATAAATCAATACTTCCAGATTAAAAAATTCATACCAAAAGTGGACATCTGAGATAAATATACGCTTCTCAGATAAAGTAATGCAAATATCAAATAAATATATGAAAAAATGTTCAACATCACTGGTTATTCAAGAGATGCAAATTAACACAACACTGAGAGTCCACATCATCCCAGAAAAAAATGGCTATTAGCAAGAAATCAACCAATATGGGCTGGGGATTTATCTCAGCAGCATAAGTACCTGCCTTGCAAGCACGTGGTTGTGAGTTTGGTCCCTGGTGTCGAAAAAAAAAAAAAAAAAAAGAAAAGAAAAAGAAAAAGAAATCAACCAATAGCAATTGCTGGAGGGACTGTTGGGAAAAGGAACTCTTTTCCATTGTTGATGGAAGTGTAGACTGGTGCAGCTACTGTGGACGTCAGTGTGGAGATTCCTCAAAAAACTAGGATTAGGGGTTCCATTTGACCCAGCTATTCTCCTTAGGGTATATTCCCAAAAGAATTAAAAATATCATGTCATAGCAATATATGTGTACCTGTGTTTATAGCAGAACAATTTGTGGGTTTTTTTTTTTTGGTACCAGGGATTGAACTCACTACTGCATGCTTGCAAGGCGCTAACAGCACAATTTGTAATATCTAAATCTTGGAAACAACCCAAATGTCCATCAACCATGAAATGGACAAAAAAGATGCGATATTTTTGTATAAGTGAGTATTACTCAGCTATAAAGAAGGATAAACTAGAGGTTTTATAGCTAAATGAATGCAACTAGAGACCATATTTATCAGTGAAACAACTTAGACTTACATGAGTAAATATTATATTTTCGCCTTCATGTAAGAAACTGAAAGATTAACTAAGATCAAAAAGGTTCCAAAGAGATTGTGGAAGGGAATGAAACTGCTCAAAAGGCAAGAACAACTGGGGAAAACACATAAGGTAAATACACACACACACACACACACACACACACACACACACACGATAGCTAAGATAATTGTACTATTGATCCTATTTGTTCAGGAAAAGAAACCGTGACACATTATTTGATCTGTTTTACATGCTCTTATCTTGTAATCTGAACAACTATTCTGAAAATAACCATATGCAAGAAAGTGACTATTGCTAGTCTCCTATCATCTTGTTTTGAAATCCTATATCATTTCTGCTGTCTTGTTCAGCTTTTATCATTTTGGTTTTTTAAAATATTTTTAAAATAAGGTAAAGAGAAAAAGAATTCTAAAAAAGAATTCTTACAGGAAGCATCTACCACCTTAGGGCTGAAAGAACAAAGAAAGGAAACTGAAACTATTAGAATTTAAAAACTCAAAGGAGGAGCTCTGTGGAGCTGTGCTCAGCTGAGCTGATGTCTCTGGCTTCAGGGCAGGGTCCTAGAAGGGTTGGTCCTTAGAGGAGAAGCTGGTACCATAGAGGAGACCTTTGCTGTGAGGCAAAACAGCCTTGCAGGGGGATGCTCAGAGAGCAAGAACCCTACAGGACGTGGAGCCCTTCTCTTTACTCCCGCCTTGGAGTCCAATCTTATTTGCTTATTGGTAAAGACCAACAGAGTCTAAGAGGGAGCAGCTGGCAACACAAAAATGTGTGTGGCAAGGCCCCAGCCCTCCGCATCACAGAGTAGGTACTTGGTACTTTTTGTATTATCAAATATTATAGGAAATTCCCAAATTAATCTGACCGTAAATATAGAACTTACAATGCACCCCTTCCCTCTGCCTCTGCATGCAATGAATTTACCTCTTCAAAATTGTAAAAACAATATTCTAACAACATGCAAGATTTTTAAAATCCAAAAGATCTACTTATAATTTTACTATGCCCACACGATGACTTTTATTTTCACCTTTTCTGTTTTAATCTTTCTTAGAAGCAGACATGATTTTCATGGTTATGACTACAGCACCCCATACAATCAAAGAGTCCTGCTGTACATAAGCCTTGTTGCTTGCTGTTATGGAAGAAGTCATTGTCACAAACCCTGAATGAATGAAATATCATTCTCTCTTTTGTTATTTTTAAATTTTAAAACAAAAAAAGAATAAAAATAATGATATGGAATTTCAAGACAAAATAATAGAAGATTAACACTGGTTACTATATTGCATATTGTTATTTTCAAAGTAACAGATTACAAGAGTAACAGATTACAGTCTTGTTCAGATTACAAGATTACAAGGCATGAACAAAATGATCAAACAATTGAATAATGAAAGTGCAAATTGTTCTTTTTGATGAATTAACAGAGATTAGTAGTATAGTTATCTATCTTGCATATATATATATATATATATATATATATATATATATATATATACCTATTCTTTTGGAGCATTTTGGTTGCAAATGAGAGAAAGTCTTCTCAAATGAGATTAAGTTTAAGCAAAGCTGTGTCTGTGTGCTGTGAGTAGTAGAATTCCCTGGAAAGAATGCAGAGGAGAGAGAGAGAGAGAGACAGAGAGAGAGAGAGAGAGAGAGAGAGAGAGAGAGAGAGAGAGAGAGAATACCCAGAAGAAAGGAGAAGGAAAAGGGATATAAAAAAGAACTAAAGTGTGTTATGTACATATAACGACTCTTCACGAAGTATATAATCATTATGTACTGCAAACATGTACTACTACTAATAAAATTCATGTATTGAAAAAATGCAGAGGGAACTCACAAACTAGGGTCCAAAACCAGGATCTAAAAAGAACCAATGATCTTCTTCTCTATCCATCTCATGTGGTCCTCTCTTTAAAGATTTGCCTCTTTAGGAAAAACTTTCCTACCATAAACATGTTTTTTCCACCTGGCAGTAAATAAACATGGCCATTGGCTGCCTCTGCTTTGTAGTTGTAGTAAAAGAGCATTCAGACAACAGTTCCAGGTAAGGGCTGTTATTGGCTCTACTAAGTCACATGTTCACCTATTATCCAGTCATGTTCTTAGGCCAACCTTGATTTATACAATTGGCCAGGCCTGGTTACATGTCCATCCATGGCCAGGATGGGACCAGGAACTTTTGTTAACAGATGAAGGAGAATGGGAAGCCTGGGTGAAGACACAAAACTCAGAGGAGGAGCCCTGTGGAAGGATCACTGCATGGGGGTCTCATTTTTTCATCAAGACACTATGTACCTTGAGACATTTATAAATAAATAGACGCAGCTTGAGACCATACTCATAAGTGATATAAATCAAACTCACATGTATAAATACCGAATAGTTTCCCTAGTGTAAGAAATGATAAGAATACATGAAAGTATGTGGTAATCATGATTCCCAATCATATTGGTTTGAAGCCATATAATGTTTTCACTCATTAATTGCAATGGTTTTAACCTGGGTTGTTCGATTTTAGTATCTATGATAGTACGAATAGCTATTTTGAAGAAAACAACACAATATAAAAGCTAGTGCTGATTTAATATCATCTTGTTTTGAAGTCCCATCTGTTTCCACTGGTTTTAACATGATGTATCTTACTATATTTCACTATATGCTATAGTATAAACAAAATTCTTTATAGGCAAAGAGAAAACGTTGTTCATTTTCTGTTAGCTGGTTCTAAATACCCTGTAATTCTTGAATTCTCTTGAATGGCTTCACACTGTCTTGATATGCTTGATGTTATAGCATACGAAGTTACACTCAAATAATTCAAAGAAAGAGGCACTATGGTGACTACTATTATCTGGGGGTGAAACACAATGACGCTTAATTGTTCGGTTCTGACCTGTGTTGTTCTGTTACAATGTCCTCTCTTATCTCAACCTCCCCCCCCCCATGTTTTTTAAATTACTCTATTTTCTCTCATTTTTTTAATTAAGGGAAAACTAAATTAAAAAATAGGGGGACATATTATAGTAACTTTCTTGGTTTTCCTATTGACCTGATTTGAACCCCAGTATTGCTTCCCCCGTCTTGTTCTGTCTGATTATTCTATATTCTATTTTGTTGATAGTATCAAGTTTGAGGTTATAGGCAACCACTTTGAAGGCAATAAGATATACTATGATGCCCATTATGGTTTGACTATTATCCTTTTTTTGAAGTCCTGTAAGGTCTCCAGTGTAGGTTTTATTGGTCTTGTTCTGTATTGTTTTGATCAATTCTATTATACTTGATGATATAGGCAACTCAATTTAAAAATAGCAAGAGGCACAATGGTAACCACTTTTGATCACTTGGTATTCTATTTTTGCATCATGTACTATGCCCACCCTTTTGTTCTAACTGACTCTGTTTTGCTTAGTCATGTTTGGTCTTATTCTCTTCAAAAAAAAAAGTAATAAGAACCGTGGGAGTAATAAAACCCAAAAAGTCTAATTGTTACTGTAAAAAAGAGAGGAAAGGAAGGTGAACTAAGGGGTATAACCGCAGGTATGTTCGAGTGTGTAGGATGGAAAACCATATTACTGAGCTTTTGTTGGACCATTGAACGGAACTGTCTACAGTGTTACTGTATGAATGTCCACTTTATATGCTTTAATTTTGTAATTTGGACAACTGTTTCTGGGAAGATAATATGTAACTTATTAACTGGTGATTTCTTACTGTATATTTTTTTCCTTGAAATTCTCTATTACTTGTATTCTTTTACTGCTTTGTTTTTTTATGTCCTTTCTTTTTTCTCTTTAAATAAAAAAAAGACACTATGTACCATTCTTGCATATCAAATCTTTTTCTCTTTTCTCTTTCTTCTTTTTTTGTTTTTAACAATTCTTTTGTCAGAAATGTTCAAACATAGGATTACAGCTGTGGATAATTGTGAGAAGCTTTGTAACACACTTGTACATGTTCACATCTGATACTTTATTTATGCCTCACAAAATAACTCTGATAAGTGACAGAAAAGAAACTCGAGCCTTAGAGAAGTGAATGACAGGTCTAAGAACAAGGCAGAGAGCAGAGACAACTCCCAAATCCTGGCTTCATGACTCCCATCCCAATGCTCTCTTCCCAAACATCACAAAGTTTAGACTAGAGTTGGCAGGCATAGAGCCAGTGTCATCTCTGGCTCATTAAGGAATGGAGCTTCTTCGATTCTCTTCCCCTTGAAGGAACTGGGCGGGACCCCCGGATGCCACTAGCCGGCAGCCCCTGCCTTCAGAGCCTGCCCGAGCTCTGATGGGGGATGCTCCCCCACTGGACCTGGCATCTTCCCACTGAGCGCTCTGCATGTGCAGCTCCTCTAGGACGTTATGGAGGTGTTTCAGTGTGAGCAGGAGCTGCTGGTCCTGGATCTGCATCTCAGACTAGAAGACAGAAAGATTCAGTGGGAGATCTGAAAATCTCTGGCTGCCCTTCCATATCAAGCCCCTTCCTGGAAGTCACACAACCCAGCAGAAGCTTCACCTTTTTCATCTGAAAAGCACAAAGCAAATTACTTACCTTTCAGGGCGCTTATGGGGAACAAATGAATTATAATAACACTTTAAAATGTAACAGGCATAACTCCACTATATCCTTTAATCCTTACTGAAATAAATACTTCTTTACTGGTATTAAGGTGATAGTGACTTCTTTCAAATTAAAACAAAATGAACTAAACCTGCCTGGTTGAGCCTTTTAGAACAGTGGCTTCTGACATGTAGTCAGGGGATTCTTGGGTGCCAAAAAATCTTTCAGGGATCAGTGAGGTTAAAACTACTTTCATTACAATACACAATATTTTCTTTTTTCACTCTCATTTCCTTGTTAGTATAGTGGTGTTTTCTAAAAGCTAATGAGATATAATATCTCAATAAATTAAATGTAGAAATAGGAAAATGCAGGTATTGTCTGTTAAAGTGATTTGCAACAATGGACACATTGCCACTTTTCTCACTATTTGCTTTGAAAAATAATTGTTTTATATTTTAAATAAATACTGTTTTGTTAACATATAATGAGCTAGGAATGGTGGCACACACCTATAATCCCAGCACTCAGGAGGCTGAGACAGGAAAACAGCATAAGTTCGAGGCCAGCCTAAACTACATAAGACCTTGTCTCAAGCAAACAAACAAACAAACAAACATTAAAGAGTGTATTTTAAAACTGCATTAATAAATTTCTCAGCTTTGATTTCTAATTCAGGCAGTACTGAGAGCTACAATTCACATACACAAGAAATGTGGTTTATGTAATTATTTTGAGAAACAAAAGGAGATCCTAAGATCAAAGTTTTGAGAACTGCTCCATAAGAACTCTGCTATCATCAGTCACCCACTGCAAAACTGCTGCTTTGCCATTGGAATTTTTGATACACTTTCTGTTTTACATCTGTTTTTAAAATTTTTAAGTTTGTTTTTTGATTAGGTAATTCTTACACATGACAACATGTAAAAGCCACAAAAAGACATATTCTGTTACCTCTCCATGTCTATGGAGACTTGATTCCAGAAACCCCGTTGATATGAAAATCCAAGGCTGTCCAAGTTCTTTATTGGAAATGCAGTATTTGCATATAACCTACACAGTCCTCCTCTCTAGGTTACTTAAAACACTAGCTACAATTTTAACACTATGTATACAGAACAATGACAAGGAAGAAAAGTCTGTACATGTTTAGTACAGACACAATTTTTCTTTTTACCCAAATATGATGCTTTTGATCCATGTTTGGTCAACTCCTCAGATGCAGAACCTGCAGATACAGAGGCTGGTTCCAGCTAAAGATTCTCCCAGCCCAATCCAACCTAATCTCCCAGCACAACTCATGATCACATAGGCAGATTTTCAACTTCTCTCTTTCTCTGTCTAACTTTACAAGAGAAGATGATTAATATTACTTTTCTATTAAAAAATAATATCTTGGGCTTGGGATTTAGCTCAGTGGCATAAGCACCTGCCTGGCAAGTGTGAGGTCATGAGTTCAATCCCTAGTACTATGTATATGTATATGTATATGTATATATTATCTTGAGGGGGGTGCTAAGGTGTAGTTCAGTGGTAGCTATGTGTAGTATGTGAAAGCCCATTTTATTTGACTCTCAGAACCACAAAAAGAAAACATACTTTGCTTTTCATGCCAACTGCTTTACAAATAAAAGACCACATCTGTGTCCTCCTTTTAGCATTAGTAGCACTGCCCAGCAGGAGGGCTGGGAGGAGAACTCAGAAGGGGGAAGGGAGAAAGGGCAGTGCAGACTGCATCCCTGAGGACATTGCTCTGGTTTCCTCCAAAAAACCTGGGCCTTCCTTTTTCACTCGTAGGCAAACACTGATCCTGTGTTTTCTAGGGTTTTTCTACATAACTTTTGGTTCAACTTTGAATACCATTTCTGAATATGTGTTGATGAGACCATGACAGGGCACCAGCACTGCAGTGGTGTTAAGGAGGTGATAGACCTGATGTCTCTGAACACTGAGGACCAGCATGCCTGACCAAACCGGCTTCCACAGCAGGGAAGTGCATTCAATCTCCTTGATGCACAGTTCTGCCTCCCTCTGCAGAGAAGGGGATTCAGACATCAGGGTGGTGGGCTTGATTGTCTTAGGCAGCTACTGCTCTTTCTCTTCTTATGGACCCATCAAGATTTTGGGACTCACAGGATTCCAGAAAAAGAGGGAGAACACCTAACTTTTCCCTGTGGTGGTCACTGGTTTTCCTTATTTGTTGTGTCCTTTTGCCACATGAGTGATTGTATGTGCCCTCTCCTGACAACAGTCAAGGGTGTATAAAGGAATTGTGGAAATTGTATGATAAAAAATCAGGGATCTGCCACAAAGGCTCTGGGCTCTTCCAGTGATATAGGTGGTTGAGTCTATGTAGCTGAATTCTGGTTAGGACACTGGTCCTTTGCTGCCTGTCTATTCTTCTGTGAGTAAACAATCACTTTAGCTAAAGCACCAGGTGATCTGCATTTAGGCTTTCCCTGTGCAGAGGAGACCAGGCAGGGCCAGCTACCCAACTCTGGATGCCTGTGGATTGGACACAGCAGCAGCCCCACTGCTGGAATTCTCTGACCCCATGAGAAATCTTATTAGGTCAGCCTCTTTCTTTGGAGGTGAAGACAGCCTCTGGGCCTCAGCTTACCTGTTATCTGGCAATCCATAAAGTCACTTTTGGATACTCCTCTCTGTCCTACCCCAGAACAAGAGGAGGTTATTTTGGGGTAAAAACTTCTTCTTCAGCTCTCTGAACTGCCTCTTTTTCTCACGTGGCTGGTTTCTGTGCATAATGGGCCATCCCATTAGTTTTGGACTTGGAGACAATACTCCAGCATGACTTTACTTTCCAACCAGCCACCAAGGGCTCGAGAAACAGCACATATATTCAAGAGAGATAGCACCACACAGGATGGATCTTTGCCTACTGGAAATGAGACTGGTGCAAACTTCGCAGAAACATTTCCTTTCCTTTCTTTATTCTCCAGGATTCCTTCTCAATTCCTGCAGAGAGGTCCTGCAGCAGTGCAGTCAGCTACCTAGAGAACTTTGGCGGCTCTTGCTGGTACTACCATGTGCCGCTGGCATAGAATGAGTGTTTGCCTCCAGTCCCTACTCTCTCCCTCTTACTATTTTGGGTTTTTATCTCTTCAGGATTGTTAGCTCCTGAATCCTTGCCTCAGTCTCTGTTTTCTAGAGGAACTAGGCTAAGAGAGGATGCTCTTTGTGCAGTAGCATCTTGGTTACAACACCTGGTGCTAAGCATACACTGGGTGAATGATGAGCCCCTCTCTTGGATAAACTCTCCAAGGTTGGTACTAATATTATCTTCCTCTTGTGACAAAGAAACTGAGGCTTGGTGAGGTAAAGCCACCCACTGGAGGTCATGCAGCAGCAGAGCTGGGCACATTCTCAGGATCCAGTATCATTCTAAGACCAGTCTAGAGAGCACAGCATCCAACATCTCACATGTAGGTCATGACCTATTTATTCCCGAACCCGAGACAGTGACCTATACTGTGTGGTTGGTCCCAAAGAGGTACCTGCAGCGCCATACGTCAGCATGCAACCTCTGTCCAGTCAACGGGGCACCTGGAAGGGGGACTAGAAGACGTAGAGAAACACAGGGTTAAAGGAAATGTCAAGACTTACCAGCTCCTTCCTCAGCCACTCCAGAGTCAGCCCAAGATTCAGGCCAGGCTGTCCTGCTGTTTTCATGTCAGTGTCCTTGAGAAAGACCTTGGTGATGACCTGCTATGAGCCCGAAGAACCTTTAATTGTAGTCCCTGACCTCCTTCAGGCTGGCTGCAGGTTCCAGGCAAGTCACTGAGGATAGAGTTAATGAGGACAGGAAGTAGCTCACATTGGAAAATGTAATTTCATTTTTTTAGAAAAGGACTTACTGCTTTGAACAGAGCAAGAAAGAGGGGAGGGAGACTATTAGTGCTTGGGGACCAGAGTGTGTACCAGTTCCAGAAGCCCAGGAGAGCTGATATCAATAGGATCAGGGATCACAAAGTTTTAAATGATACCAAAATGGTTATCACGAGATGTGTGTCCCTTTCTAAGGGTTTGCTTTCTGCTTTAGGTATAAAGTGTATATATGCCTTCTTGAGGTGGATATTCCAGCTGTGGCCCCAGAGTCTCTCTTTCTTTCCTCTCCTCTTCTTTTCCTTTCTCCCTCTCTTTCCTCCTTTCCTCTCCCCAATCCTCTTTTCCTCCTTTTATCTAGATGCCACCAGATAAGAGGAAAGGCTCATTTTCTAAGTTCCCTCACTTCTAGGATATCCTGTGACCCATTTCTAGCAAATGAGACAAAAGGAGAAATTTGCCATTGCACTTTAAAAAATCATTTACCTTCCTAATACAAGGGAAAACACTACAGATGTATTCTCTTTACTCTTACGTTGTGCTCTTCCCTTCTGCCTTGAATGTGGCTGTGATATCTAGAGCTACAGCAACTATCCTGCAACCTTAAGACAAAGGCCAACAAAATTAAAGACATTTGAAATCACTGAGTCATAGAATCAGCGACAGCATCTTCTTATTAGGTGGGACAATAGACTCCATATGTAATTGGGCACTCTGCATATTTATTCTTTATAGCACACTATGAAGTGGGTATTCTTTAATTATCCCTTCCAGTAAACACTTATTGAATGTCTAGTATGTGTCAAGTTCTACTCCAGGCATTGGGTGTGTAGCCCAAAAGCAGAGAGACAGTGACCCTGGAGCTAATATCCTAGTAGATGGAAACAAACAATAGGATCATTCTCATGTAAAGGTTGTTGTTTTTTTTAAATTCATTTTATTCATTGCAATAAGAACCCAAAATCAAGAATTAGAATAGTGATCCCACAAAAAGATCTGAGGTGACCAGAAAAACAAGTTCAGTCCATGTTGGGAGGACTTGTTCTCAACCTCAACTGTATAAGACTTCCACAAATAAAGCTTAGATGAATTCATAATTCAAAATGATAGCACACACAGGAAAACCACCCCTGTAAGTGAGGTCCCAATATCTCCTTCATAGAAACTGAAAGATTTCCCTCTCACACCATTTCTAAAAGGGTTCAACATCTCTCAGTAGCACCATGGGACCTATACCAAGTCTTTAACAACACTTGGGTCTTTGGGGGTACTTTTACAAACCAGAACAATCATATATTCTTGCACATAAGTTTATGGGTTGGTAGGATGATCTGCTTCAGGCTGCACATTTGCAGGTCTGAGGCTTTGTGGTTGCCTGGTGGTCTCCTGGCGTCACTGGGTTTCTGGTTCCTTCTCTTGGCAGTGGCAAAGGGTAAGAGAACAAATGGAACCATGAGAGATCACTCAGACCTAAGCATAGAGCTATCACATTGCCATTTTTCTACCTATCATGGGCAAAGTGAGCATGACCAACAACTGAGTCTCAGAAGGGATTAGTATGGACACTCATCTACAAGGAAATTATACAAGAGGGTAGTCAGGGAGGGGAAGAAATGGAACCAGTAGTCAGTTAAAACATGGGACCACAGGCTGGAGCGGCTCAGAGATGGCAAGCTGAGGCCACATGATGGCAAGAGTCAGAGGTATGGCTTCCTCACTATGGTGAGAGACACAGAAAGAACTAGAGAGAAGGTAATATCAGAATGAGACTTGAAGGATAATGTAGCACAACTACCATTTACATTATTGATCTCCTATTCTGAAATACATGTCATGCTAAATCTTTGGTACACACAATATTGTTCCATTTTCAAAGCTTTATTGTGACTGCAGATCCTGAACTATGTGCTGAGACACTCTCGGGCACAGCAGAAAATTCCATACAGCAGTGAAAAACAGTTAAAAGTTTGAAGGAAGCACAGCAACATCCACCTGATGCTTCAAAAACAGCTGTCATTAAGTTGTCTGAAATTACACTTTTAGAAAATGTTAAATATTTCTTTCAGTGTGGCACTTTGAAAAAGTACTGAATGCTAAGTGTATGGAAAACTGAGATGATTTAGGAACCAATTCCTCTGAAGTAGGTATCATCATATCTGTGTTTTGTAGATGATTATCAATGGGTCCTATTATTAACTATCTTTTATAGGTAAGGAAACCTGAGGCTTAGAGAGGCATGGATTTTTCTAGGATCATTCCGTCGGGTAGGCAACAGAGCTGGAATTAAAATAGTTCTCCTTGGCCAGAGCAGGGAGAGTCTCACCAATTAACAAGAATGAAGGACCAGGCAGGGGCTCAAGCCAGCCTGTGTGTTCTCTGCCCTACCCAGCAGTAGCCTCTAAGGGAAAGCTCAGTAGTTAGTGTCTGCTGCTCTCTGCCTGGTTTCCAGCCCTGATGCCTAATTACCTTGGAACACTTTCTGTGGTTAACTTGTTCTGATGCACTTTCATTTATTTTTAATCTCACTCAGGGTTCTGGCCCAGAGCAGACTTTACTTTAAAGGCTCAGAAAGACTTCGGCACATGGAGATGGGGAGTTGAAGAGCCAGGAGGCCTGAACAGGAAAAGAACTTCAACCCTGAATGAGGAAAAATGTACCACCAAATATGAAAGCCAGAGTGGCCATCCACTCATCATCCATGGGCGCCAGAAGTATAGCTTCCATGGGCTAGACTCTGCAGGGCAACTGAGGACACAGAGGTAAGCAAAAGGCCCATTAGCAATCACTTGGTTCAAAAATCTTATTTTTTGCCTCATATACCTGGTATATACATGTACACATGCATGTATATGTGAATCAAGTGAATATATATATATATATATATATATATATATGAAATTAATGAACAAGTTTGAAAATGAAAAAACTACATCTCAGATGGGGCTGTGACTTCCTTAAGCAAGTCAGCAGCCATAACAAAGATTGCAGGATATCCTTGAATCCCTCCTTTCGTTTTCTCAGGGCAAAATACTAACCCTTCTCAGGCTCTTTCATAGATAAATGTGCCCTATAATTAAATTGTGGCCAATGGAATACCAGTGGAGATTCTATGTTCATAATCCCTCATCTCACTGAGCTCCATCTGTGGACTTCAATGTAGCAATAAGAGTTGAAACTGGAACAGCCATCTTGACCATGTTAAAGAATTAGATCTCAGATGTCCCCCTAAATTCTCAAGTGTGTGGAAGGTAACTGGGTTCAGTAGCTGAATGTGCTGTTAGGTGGTGGGACCTGACTGAGGTGGGTCATCCAAAACGTGACCTGGAAAGGTGCATTTGAGCTTCTCTCCTCTCTCTTAGTACTTCCTGACTGCCATGAATTGAGCACATTTTCCTCTGCCGTGTCCCTCTGACATCCTGTTCCTGATGTGGAGCTAACTAATCATGGACTAAAACTTTGAGCCAAAAAACCTCTTTTCCTTAAGTTGTAGGTGTTGTGTATGTTGTCCCCATAACAAAGAAGTGACAAAGACAACCTACAAGATGAGGACGTCAGAACAAGATAGAAGGAACCCCGGCTCCTTGCAATTGGTGAGCCATCATGTTAGCCTCAACCCTGAAGCAAAGTTATAAAGGAGAGAAAAATGAATTCTATTTTATTGCTGGTATGACTACTTGACTTGCTCTTGTTATAGGAGCCTAACAAATGTCCTAACAATACAGTAGCAAAGCTAGAGTTGAAGTTTAGTCTTTTACTTCCTCACTCAAGACTTTTCCTTAATTGCCTTACCTGAGCATTTAAGAGTTCATTCTCTTCAAGTGTTTTCTTTTTCATGACTAAAACTGGTTCATAGTAGAGAGAGAACTTCCATGACCCTCACTAGGTAGACAGGGAGCAGAGAGCAGCCTTAAGACAGGGGCAGTCAGGTTCCTCTCTCAGATGGAGTAAGTAGGCTCAGAGATGTCACTTAGCTCTTTCCCTAAGTTCAAACCCTAGCCTAGGGCTCTGCCCACCTTTGAGACTATCTCTTTTTGTATTTTGGCCACCTCATCTACTTTTCAAAATATTAATTATGTGAAGTCCAACAGAGAAAACCTCACACTGTGTCACCTTTGAGTCCTTCCACCCTCCCTTCCTACTATGCAAGCTAGTTCCAACACACCAACTCAAGGGGTGTGGACACAGAGCATCCAGGTTGCCAGAGCACTAGCCCCATCTCTTCTATGGCTCCTTGTCTCTACCCAGCAGCCTTCTGCCTATGTTTGTTCCCTAGTGGATTCTGAACATATATTCTCTGTGCTCTCATGTTCCATAGCAAATGCTGTTGGACCCTGTACATGGCCCCTCACCATTCACCTTCTCCACATGTGCCTAAGGCTTCCTCTGCAAGTATTTTGACCTGCTTAGGGGACATCTTGACCTGAGCATAAAATGGGCTACAAGTGCAGAGAACAGTCTGCCAACAATGACAGACAGAGTCTGGAGTACAAATACTTCAGTTCCCTCAGGACACTGGCAGTATGACACTTAACCTAGCAGGACTTAGACCCAGATGCTATGGCAGTCACCTACCCCTTGGTGCACTTGTGGGGTACTTGTTGCCCTTTCTTCCTGGTCTCATGCCCCAATTCCTCTACTGTGCTTCCTAGGATGATCTCCAAACAAACCTCTTGCTCTCAAATTCTCCTCTGCAGCCTACTTCTGGAGGGACTCAATCTGTAGCATGCTTGCTCTGACTTGAGAGGTGGTGTCCCCTCCGAAATTTATGCTGAAATTTGATCGTCAGTGTGGGAAGAGCTCTGGTTAATGGGATGTAATTATCACCCTTAAAAAGGACTCCTGGTTGCAGGGAGTGGTCTGGTCCTGTTCTATCTTCTAATATCCAAGGACACAGCAACAATGGACCAGCTTAGAAGCAGAGAGCAGCCCTCACGTGATGGTATCTTGAGTTTGAACATTCCTGCCTCAAGAATTCTAAGAAATAAATTTCTGTTCTTTGAAAATTATCTAATCTCAAGAATTTTGTTATAGCAGCACAAATAGGCTAAGATAGTCTCTATCCAAATGTATCTTAGACACACACTTCCACATTTTTTTACACATGTATCAGCACTATACATAAATGTCCTCCCCAAGGAAATACAAGTTCTTCTGCTCTGTATACATGCTCCCTGTATACATGTGACCTATACACTCCTGTCACATATCCATGTATCCATTATTACACTCACCTGCACCTTTCTGTCAGGGTCAAAATGCAGCCTGAACCTGGTGAGGTGTGAAGTCTGCAATGAAGCAGTTGGGACACTAAGAAGAGCATCTTTGATTTCAACTAATCTTCACTGTGACTGATGCCAGTGACTGATCTCACAGGAATTCCAGCTTCTTCTTCCAGTGAGTGACCTCTGTGTTGTTAACCTGTCCAAGGATTGAGGACCAGGTAAGAAAACACACAGGGAGCATTACACAGGCCTGGTTCTCTGAGGTACCTTCATCTCTCTCCTGCTGATCTTACCCTCTCCCAGAAGAGTGACTTGAATGTAGCTAATCTAACCACTAGGCCTTGTGCTGGTACACAGAAGAGACAAGACAGGGTCTCTGTTTTCAAGGGACTGTGGGGTGGGGACATTTGCTTTCACAGAGGCTGGTGCTGTGGGTATCAGTTTCCCTCTCTCCTCCCCCATCTTCATCAGGAAAGAACATGGCACCCAAGCTTTTAATTCCCCGAGGCTAAGAGTAGTAGACCAACCAGGTGGGAGGAAGGAGCTGGTAGGAATGATGAAAGATGTATATGCATATGTGGGTGAGTAGACATTTCTCTAAGGCATGGAGCGTGACCTCTGATTTATTTCCAGAAATCTCTGAGCCAGGTCCCATTATGAGATCAGCATTCCTCCATAAAAGCATTACAGCTCCAGGGAAAGCAAATGAGCTAGGCTAGGGCAGAGGGTAAATAAGAAACAAACAAACAAACAAACAAACTCAAACACCAGAGCTCAGCCAGATTTGGACACAAGTGCACACAAAGAGGGAAGGGATCCTGGGATTTCATCTCTATCCGAGGTTCCAAATCACTCTGGAAGGCAGAGACTTTTCATATAGTACACCCCACTCCTCATATGCCTGGCTTATGTTTTATAAGTATCAATGCAATCATCTTAGCTACCTATCACCTAGGTACTATTATTAGTACTTCTGCTATTAGAACTTCTGCTACTTCAGTGTGGCAGTATGGTCACAGCATAGTCTCTTCTCTCCTTGATACCTGACTTTCCCAAATATGAAAATGGGGTGAATATTAATAAACTTTCAAGAATTTTGTAACTGCTTTTTAAATAATGATGAAATTTTGCATAGAGGTTTAGAGCACCAAAACAAGATATCTGGTTTCATTATCAGCTGTGTGACTTTGGACACTGAGTTATTAACAACTTTGTGCTTCAATTTTTCTAAAACAGAGATAATAATAGTACCTAGGTGATAGGTAGCTAAAATGATCACATTGATACTTATAAAACATAAGCCTGGCATATGAGGAGTGGGGTGTACTATATGAATAATTATCAAATAAAATAAACATGCAAGCAATTTCTTGCTATTCATCTCTGAGCATTGTGAGTATTGTTTCCTCTTCAAGGAACACTTTCCTTGCAGCCCCTTTGCCCAGGGAACCTCTGTCTCCCTTGGGGTAGTACTTTCTTGTCACTCCTGGACTTCTTCAGCCTGGCTTCATGGTTTTCTCATCTGAAATACATGAGGCTGGACTCAATCTGTACTGTCCAACAGTCAGCCACTCATATGCCTCCTTTTCAGTGTTTCCTACCACTTCTAGTTGGATATACTTATGTTTGTCTTTAAATTGACTATAGTACAGAAGAATGTTTCTTTGGAGTGACAGAGAATCTCAAGTAATAGTGGCACTAAAGCAGGAGTTTATTTCTCTCACACATAAAAATATAACAAATTAGTCCGGGCTGTTATTTCCATCTGGTCATCAGGCACCAAGGTTCCTTCAATCTTGTTGCTCTCTCATCCTAATGGACTTTCATCTCATGGTCCAAAGTGGTTGCTCATCTCCAATCATCAAGTCTACATTATGATGGCATAAATGACAAAGAGAGGAGAAGGAAGGAATACTTCTTTTCAGGGACAGTGAATTTTGCCATGCCACCTCCTCTGATATCCTGATAGCTTACCATCCACTAGCCATACCTAGTTACAAGGGTGGCTAAGAAATGGAATCCTTGTTCCAGGTACACTGTGTAGGAACAAACCAAGGATTTTATCCCAGTAGAAAAAGGGAGGGGTGTGAATGAATACGAAAGGAAAACAGTGATCTCTATTGCATTGACTTCATAGAGACCCATTGTTTTCTACCACTACCCTAAGCAATTATTACTTATTTTATCTCAGCTTCATAAACTTGTTAAAGACTTTCCTCAAACAATTTAAAATTAATACTTAGCCATTGAAGTGATGATATGTGTATAGATAGAATATAGGTGAAAGGACATTGTTCCTTGGTGATCCCTAATGGTCCGTGTCTGCCAATGTTCATTAACCCTATATGGATCCTTCATCTTGAATCCAGGCTGCCCTAAGAGCAGAAAAATGCTGAGCCAGTTCCAGTCCTCAACTTTAAGCTTTCTTTTTAGTGCTTGGGGAAAGTGACTTTTCAGTGCCATGTGCATATTCTGACCACCATTGTGTAATGAAGCCCTAGCTGGACACATGAAGGGACTGTGTGAAAGAACAGAAACCCCCAGCTGACCGGGATCACTAAGCTTATAAATACATGGTGATAATTGAAATAGTCCCACCAGCTATTCATGCCACCCAAATGGCATCATACAGAAGAGAACTGAGCTGTCCCATCTGAGACATGCACACACTGCAAAACTGTGAGCAAATATATGATGATTTCCTATTAAGCTCCTAAATTTTGGGGTGGTTTGTTATGTAGCAGTAGATAACCAAACACATATTTATCTATGTAATACCTAAAATCATATTATGTACCAATTCCCTTTGGAATATTCTGGATTCAGTGGATGCTCTAATAAGAGATCCCAATTCTTTCTTTCATGGTTCACGTAACATCTGTTATACATAATTGAAGCTAATTTTTGAGGACTGACTATGTGCCAACATGATCACAATAACTACTTACATGGTCTAAGTTTTCCCTCTTATCCTTTTTTACCTGACAGCTGCCAGGAGAAGATTCTCACAGTGTAAATCTGATCATTTCACTCCCAGGTATATTACTCACTGCAAAATCCAAAGGGGATCTTCTTGGGTTCAAGTACACATTCAAACTCAACAGATGATTATATACCACAGTTGCACTGACCTACTCTGGAGGACATAGGACAGGAACTTCAGTTTTTCAACATGGCACTCAGTACCATCAGGTGCTCCTTTGAGCAGAAGTCTGCATTGCCTTCAGCAGAGCAGGACTGCTGAGGTGCAAAATGGAAGCCCCACTAGGCAGGTACAGGACCAATCCTGTTTAAAATCTTCCATGTCCCATGAAACCTAAGATGTTGAACCTGCCCAGGTACGTGTGTCACCGTGCTCAAGAAGCCCAAGATATAATTTCCAGCCAATTATTTTTAGTCCTTTCCAGTTGTTAAAAATGGCAACTTAAATTTTTAGAAGTTTTAGATTTATAAAGTGGGGAGGGTAGTGCAGAGAGTTCCTATGTATCCCGCTACCAGTGTATCTGTATCATTAGCATCTTACATTAGTGTGGTACATTCGTTTCAGTTAATGACCCAATATTGATGATTATCATTAGCTAAAGCCCATACTATACTCAGATTTCCCCTGTTTTTATGTGCTGTACTTCTTCTGTCCCAGGAACTCATCAAGTATACCATACCACATTTCACTGTGAAGTCTCCTTAGTGTTCTCTTGTTTGTGAGAGTTTCTCAGACTTTCCTTGCTTTTGATGACCTTGACATCTTTGAGAAAAATTAAATAAGAAATTGTATAGAATATCTTTCAGTTGGCATTAGTCTGATGTTAACACATGGTTAGACTGGGTTTATGAGTTGGGAACTGAAGGTCACAAAAGCAAGCACCAATTGTACTACACCACACCATATTAAGTGTGGACACTGCCAACATGACTTGACTCTTGATGTTGACCATGGTCACTTGGCTGATGTGAGGATTCTCCACTGCAAACTCAATTTCTCTCTTTTCATCTTGTATACTCGGAAAGGAAGTTACTATGCATGCAACACTTAAAGATTCAGGCGTTATGGCCTCTTTCCTTGGGGATCAATTATTTGGAATTCTGCATAAGAGGTTTATCTCTTCTCTTCATTTATTTGTTCAGTTATTTATACCAGTATGAATTCATGTATATTTATTTCATATTTTGTTATAACCCAATATTACTTTGTTTCTCAAATTTTTCATTATTGCCATTGGGAATTGTTTAAGTTGCTCTACGTTCTTTGACACCCTTTCATCAGTGTGTGTGTGCCATGCATGCATGCCTGTATGTGTGTTGAGCTTTTCAGTTTTCTGACACTGTAAGATGCTCCAGGCTCACCTTGTATACTTCCTGATATTGACAATTAGCAACGCAGAAATTTACTTGCAAAATGGGAAAAGTTTGGTTAGCCCAAGCCTTACCACTCCTTGATTTCTGTACTCTGGGTCCTTTGTTTTCCTCGCCTTAACACACCATTCCTCTAGGCCCTTTCAAGGAAAGAAGCAGAGACAGTCACCCTACTCACTACACCCTAGTCACTACAGTCACCACACCCCCATGCTGGGCTCTGTGGGATCCAGCGTGGGCCCTGTTCTCCTGCAGCTGCCAGCCTGATGGGGGAGGGGAGAGGCTATCCTTCAACAGAAAATCACAACAGAGATAAGGCCGCTAGTGCAGGGGACCGGTAAGCCCAGATGGAGTGGCCCTGGAGGTAAGGGGTGTTTGCGAGGCAGTGGTGGGCTTCCCAGCAGAGGAGGCACTGCAACTGGACCTTGGAGGGTGGTGTGGTTTGCCCTTAGAACACTTCTGTTCCACAGGCCCACGGCAGATGCTCCCCGAGACACTTCCTTTCAGACTTCAGGTGGCGCCCTTGAGTCTTGGAGCCCGACGCACCAGAGGAGATTCTAGACTTGTATTTCTGAGGGGACCCTAGATCCTACCCGGGATTGTGTATACGCCTACCCGCGCGGGCGCGCGCGCGTGTGTGTGAGCGCGTGGATGTCAGAGGAAAGGTGTGTGGGGAAGGCGAACACCTGGGCTGGGCGCAACAGGGGCTGCCCAGGGCGGAGAGGTCTTCTTCAGCCCCACTACCCGCACCGTCCTCGAACCCGGGGATCGCGGGTTCGGCGCCCGGGTTGCAACAGACAGGCGCAGGCAAGACAGATGCGCCCCAAGCGGAGGGGTGGGAGGAGGGATGCGCAGCCCCCGCCCTCGCCCCAGTCCCTCACCCACCTCCTGGTCCCTCCCCGCCCTAACTCTCCCGGCGCCCTTGCCCGCCGCAGGCGGAGCTGGATTTGCGGCGCTGGATGATCCTGACTCCCGCCCCTTCCCGGTCGGTCCCTCCCTCGCTTCCTCCCCTCCGCGGAGCCCCCCAGCGGCAGCCACCGCCGCGGTGTATCCCGGTGCGGCGCGAGCAGGTACGTGCGCCTCGGCGGCCCAGCCGGGCCGAGCAGGGGGCGGGAGCGGCGAGGGCAAGGCAGTGGCCGTGGAGCTCGCGCCTTCCCCGGCCGCGTCGCAGCCGAGAGTCGGGCGGGCTGCTAAGGGCTAGAGGGGGCTAGCGGACGCCGGGGAGAACGCGCCCTCGCCCGCCGGCCCCTTAGCTCTGCGTGGGGAGGCAGGCAGGCCCCGCACTGGTACCCGCGCCGAGAGGCAGCTTCAGGGGGCGGCTGCGGGCGGAGGGCCGGAGGCGGGGAGTGGCAGCGAAGGACAGTATCCTGACCTCGCGGCCCGCCGAAGGACACGCGACAAGGGGACCTAGGGGCACACCGGCGCCCGCGGAGCCTGGCCTTCTCCGGCTGCCCTTTTGCGGGCACTGCAGGGCCGAGGCCGGCCTGGCCCGGGCCACGGCCACGGCCACGGCATTGGTGGTCAGGGGCAGGAGCAGGGGGTATGAACTGCAGGCCAACGGGAGCGCAGGTGCCATGGGCGGCCCGGGTGCTGGGGTTTCCGCGCAGAACTTTGGGTATGACAGCGTGAACCTGCTTGTGCGTATCTGCGCGCCCTGTGGCTTTGTGTACAACCCTTGCGTGTGTCTATTGATTGGATTTTGTGAGGTTTCATCCATCCTCGCTGCGGGTTTGTCATCTCCCCAAGTGTCAGTATGTGCCATGGGTGGGGTGTTGGGCCTCGTAGGGCTTGGTGGGTTGAATCTCAGCAGTCCTGGGGGTGATTTATTCTCTCCCCACCCATCTCTCCCTAACCAGTTTTACCCTCTCCTGGTTACCAGAGGCGCACACTGCTGGCTTCCCCGAGTCTGTAGACACTGTTGTGAGAGTGAGGGGGTGGGGATGAGAGTAGAACTGGAGTACTGGAGTGTGTGTTTCGGGACCTGCCCCTTGCAGATGGAAGTGGAGTAACCGATACAGTTGTGGAGTGTGAATAGTGTGTCTCTTTGTCTCTGCTTATTCTTGGGTAATTGATGGGCATGGCCTTGTGGAACTGGTGGGCATAGGAATCGTTGGCAGGGAAAACATTCCGGTGCTGTGGTGGGGAGAGCCCCTTTTTTTCTGTCTCCTCATTCAGGCATCCTAAGGAAAAAGTTATGGGCTCTGCAGAATGAAAGAGAGCCCCCCCCCACGAATTTGGATGCTCCAGATTTCTTCTGGGATGTAGAGGCCTCATCAATGTATCAATCTGGAAAAAAGGGTCCATACTGGGAACTATGTTCTGTGGAAGGTACCCAGGGCCTGGTGGGAGTTGCACATTTGAGTGCTCTGATAGGACCCAGTGCTGGACTCTGTTTTTGAATTAGGGTGCTAAAAGTCAAAGGCCAACTAGCACACTCTATGTTCCCTTCTAGTCACTAAAACATGCAAAGGGGCAGGGTTCTGGGCACTCAAATGGAATTTAGGCATCTCCCAGCCCTAAGGAATGGAGGAGCACAACAGTGAGTGGGTTTGCAGGTTTTCATGAGTTAATAATTCTTAGAGAATTCTTGCTCCCCCCATCCATGTCATGGAATCTTGCCTCTGTTTTATAACACAGATCATGATTCCTGACATCACAGGGTTGGTGAGGGTTACATAGGATACTCCTGACTGCGGTGCCCCAAACAGGGCCCGGCACATAGTAGGTCCTCAGGAAATATATGTTATGTTGGATCTTTGGAAAGAGGGATGTAGTGACAGAAATGAGTTGTCAGTAGAAAGAAGCCTTGTGCTCAGGTGAAAGACCCTGTGTGTGCTACAAGAAGATGTTTGCTGCAATTTCATATTGGAAGGAAGTTCAGAAGGGTTGGAAAATATGCCTTCTTGCCCTTTTGGAGCTTCATTGATTTATTCATCTCATTCTTGCTTCATTAATTTATTCATATACACACATGCACATACATGGGTGCACACACATAAGTCACAGAACTCTACAGAATGCACAGAATCCACATGTGAGGATAGACATCAGGGCAACAGAGCCTGGAGCCCAGGACGAACGTGTCCTAAGGGCATCATAGTGTTTATGGTTCTGATGTAGGCTCAAGAATGACATGTGCCAGGAGGGGAAGGAGGGTGAGATGGCCAAGTCCTGCTGAGATTTGGGAGAGGAGGGGAATAGAATGTGATCAGATTGTTCCATTTTGCAAGAGAAGCCAAGGATCCAAAGTTTAAAATGTAAAATCTTTTGCTTTTTATATGTTGGCAATGAATTCACCAAAAACAAGTGAATAGGTCAGACGCAAAATAAAGCAAAGCTTGGTGGAGGAGCAAGTCTGGCCTAAGGACTGAGTTGGTGCCCTCTGATGGCTAGCTACACAGCGCTGTGTGTTTGGCTCTGGGGTGTGGGTTTGGGTATTGGGTAGAGGAGATGTGCTTTGCAGCACAGGGTGTACCCACTTCTCATTCCCCTCCTAGTTCTCCTGGTCCAAACCTCTGGCTCCTTTATTTTCATAAAGGCATGTGACTTTGACCTCAGCCTGCACCTTTCTGTTAGCCTAATCTTCCAGGCTATCCCCCACCTGTTGGCTTCTTTTCTGGAACCCGTGCCTTCTAACCTATCGTGTCCTCCCTTCTGACCCAGGCAGATCTCAGCACTCCCTGGCTTCCTTGTGAACTGGCTCTAGTCAGCCTTGGAGTCACCACTGACCTTCCAGAATACCCTCACCCATCCCCTTCACTGCTGGGAGTTTCTCACTCTTCTGAGTCTGGCTCAAATGACAACTCCCAGAAGCCCCCTGCTGTCTCCTCTTTGTTCCTAGAACACCTTAGTATCTCTAACACCATCCTGTCTCCCTGCCATGTCATTCTCTCCTCATACAATAATGTCCATTAATTTAACCAGTCAGGGCTTTGTACATTAATTTATGAAATTCTTACAATAATCTTATGAGGAAGGCACTTTATTTCTTGTTTTACAGATGTGAAAACTTAGTCTGAAGAGGAGCTCCCATCACTTGCCTAAGACCAAGTGGGAAAACTAGGATTTGAACCCAACAAGAATTCTGTCCAAACTCCTCCATCACAGTAATCATCACTAATACTTATTGAACATTTATTCTGCTGAATACTCTATATAGGTTGTCACAATCCCTATGTCAGCCTTGTGCAGTAGGAAGTAGTCGTATTAGTGTAATTTTATATATGGAAACTGAGGCCCAGAAAAGATAAATGTCCCAAAGCCATATGCTAATCCATGGTGGAGCTAGAGCCTAGCATGCATCCTGGAGCCTAGCATACCTTCACCCTGGATGAATGCAATGTCTAGCACCAACAGTCTTTGGTAGAGATTTGTTTAATTCAACTGGCTTTCTGTTTTCTCTTCTAGCTGCCAAGGGGCCAAGGGATGAGCTGGCGTCCTCCTTCCCAATGGCATCTTCCCCTGGTCTGGAATTGAAGACACTGAGCAATGGTCCTCAGGTCCCAAGGAGACCTCCTCCTCTGGGCCCAGTGGCCCCACCCAGGGCTGGTGTGGAGAATGCCTGCTTCTCCTTGGAGGAGAATGAGACCTGTTTCCAGAACCCTGGAGATGCCAGACTGGGCAGTTCCCCTAGTCTCCCAGAGGGTGTCCCCTCACTCTCCAGGTCGCAGCAGGATGATCTGTCTCTATGTTCAGAGGAGGGGCCAGGTCTGGAGCCTGTGAGCCGCCCTGTGGATTATGGCTTTGTTTGTGCTCTGGTTTTCTTGGTGAGTGGGATCCTCCTGGTGGTGACAGCATACGCCATTCCCCGTGAGGCCCGTGTCAACCCAGATACAGTGACTGCAAGGGAGATGGAGCGACTAGAGATGTACTATGCCCGTCTGGGCTCCCACCTGGACAAGTGTATCATCGCGGGCCTGGGGCTGCTCACAGTGGGCGGCATGCTCTTGTCAGTGCTGCTCATGGTCTCCCTGTGCAAAGGCGAGCTGTACCGCAGGCGGACCTTCATCCCTGGCAGAGGTCCCAGAAAGACCTATGGCTCCATTAACCTGCGCATGAGACAGCTAAATGGGGAGAGAGGCCAAGCACTGGTGGAGAACGAAGTTGTCCAGGTCTTGGAGGCTAGCCATACCCTCCAGGGGTCTTAAGTAAAAGCCCACTCTATTTGGGTACATTAGCTTCAGGGCTCCGAGGCCTGGGGTTTCAAATAGTTCTACACAGGGCCCAGTGGAAGGAGTCTAGGGTGCCAAAGGGGGACTTGGGCCTGGCCCAGTCCCCACTGAGGCAAGCGCCTGCTGATCTGTTTTATAGCTTGAGGTTTTGCATAAGGTTTTGTTTGGAAGATGGCTTCTGCTGCTAAAAATACAAAGTTTGGAAACTGCTGCTCTTAGAAGATAAGGTTTCAGGCATTTTTGAGGGTTGTGAGCCATTTGAAAGATTGCCTATCATGTTCCTCCTCCCATGGGGAATTCCAGAATCTCTGTATCCTCACTGGCCAAGCAAGGGTGTTGGGTGACCATGGAGGAGCACCTTTCAGTCATGACAATCTAGGTTGCGAGGTAGCTTCATGGTAAGGGAGAAGCCAGCCCTGGGGTGACCTCCTGTAGTACCCCACTGACTGAACCACGACCCTTGCTGCTTCAGGCCCTAGTTACTCTTCTCTGTCAAGCAAGGAGATTGGACTGATGACCTCTCAGGCCAGTTCTGTCCTGAGAATGGGAACCCAGTCTCCACCCTTTCAGAAGAAGAGGTATTTTCGAGGCACTGATCATTTGTCATGCCATTTTCTGGCCCCACCTTGGTGACCACCAGTGTGAGGAAGCCAGCTACTTTCATGGTCCTGCTAAAGAGCCTCTTGACTGGGTGGGTTACATTTAACTTGCCACAGCCTAGTTTTGGTTTGGGTGTCTAATTTCTGGTAGTGAATTTCTGCAGTGGCACATTTTACAGAGTTAAGTGCCCAGTTTTGACCCATCCTCTGGGCACAAAAGACTTTTTATATAAGAAAGTATGAAGGTTTTTTGTATTTGAAGACTGTTGTATTTTTGTGGGTGTGACACATGCTTTTATCATCTTCCCTCCTCAACAGTATGTCTCTTGGGCCTGACCTCATTCTGTTAGCAGAAAAAAGAAGTTTGTTTTGTTTTTTAAATGCTGAACTTGTAGCCTCCTGCTTTCCTTCTTAGTAGTAAAGTGCAGCCGCAGTTTATTTGGGGGGAAATCAGGCATATTGAGGAGACCGGGACACTCTGGCCTCATTGATTACCATTTATTTGTTCTCTCTCTTGTGGACTGTTTCCAGGCTACTTCCAAACTCTCAACTTCTGACGAGGAAGGAAAGTAAGCTCTAAGTGGCAAGGACATGCAGGCAGGGAACTGGGGGAGACATTGTCCAGGCAAGGTGACTCTAAAGCACTTCCCAAGTGCTTACTTTCTACGCCACTGGTATGAAGACTCTGAAGGGCCCATTTCAGTGAAACTTTGCTTCCAAGTAGGTCCCACTTACTTACTTGAGGTTGTCCACCTGGGGCATGAATCTAACTGTCTCCAGGATGGAAGGCGGGGATGGATGTGGGGTCTGTAAATGCTCGTTACCAGTAACATGAGCCTTTGATCCACTGAGTTGAACATCTGGGCTTCCAGCTCTCTCACAGCTCCTGAGACAGATCAAATATCTGCTCCTGCTGGCAGTTTTCATTGGGAGAGAGGGGTGGGGGAGGGCTGAGGGGGTGAAGATTGTTTAGCTTGGCCCCCTCTGCTCTGTCATGTTGTGAAAAGGGTGTGGTTAGAAAAGAACAAAGCCCAAGATGGTGAATGGTGCACAGGGCCCGAGGTTCCAGATGGGTAGATGCGTGCAGTTCTTGCAGGCTTCAAGCAAGGACTGATGCAGAGGTGGCATGAGCTGTGCTAGGTGAACTCCAGAAGAACTGGGCATCCTGAATGATGGGCTAAGGCTTTTCAAGTCCATAAAGATAATAAATAAAGACATCAATCTGAGCCATTTGGATTACTGTGACAGTGGGGGACTTGGGTACCAAACCTGTTGAGAGAATGCATGTGGGACCATCATTTCTTATCAGGTTAAATGCAATGAATTGTATTTGGGGGATAAATTTGTTAGATTAAGTCCAGGAATCTCAGGTTTTCTCCAAGTCAGAGAGGCCTGCTTTGCATTCTAATGTAGAAACTCCTTTAGAAAATGTGTGTAATGGATTGAGGCGGTCATTACCTTGTCAGTAAATTAACAAAACTTGAGAGATGCCAAAAACATTTCCCCAAGAGTGCAGCTGAGATCTCCCAGCTGGTGAAGCAGACACAGGTTTATGAAAGTCCAGGAAAAGCAAGGAGCACTGAGAGCTTTCTCTGTACATATGATTCTATGGGGTAGGTGTGGAACTGTTCTGAGAGCTCCTCTGGTTACCAGACGTACCTCACATCTAGGAGCTTCTACTAAGGCCCCAAACTCAGGCTTTTTCTGATGTATTTGGTGCTGATTTCAGAGTTGGGAATATGTGCTCTGCCATTTACTGGCCCTGTGACCTGGAGCAAGTTACTGTGCCTCTTTGAGTCTGGGTTTCTTTGTAGATTAATGAAAACCTACTCGGGAAGGTGGCCTTTTCCTCACCTCTGTTGGGCCAACTCAATTAGGCCTGAACCTCAGGGCCAGCCCTTCTGCCTCCCCACACACCTTACAACCGACCTGCTACAAATCTTGTCTGCTGTTTGTTCAGAGTCTGATCACTGTTCATCCCTTGCCTGCCACTGCTTGGCCAAGTCTCTCACTGGTGTCCTAACTTTTTTTCTGCCCAGCTCTTGTCCCCAGCTTATCCTCTGTCATCTAAGTCTGTTGAGAGGACAGGTCGTGTCACTCATCTGCTCAACTCCTGAGTGGCCTCCTCATTCTCACTGCAGCCAGAGGTGGACCTACAAGATGAGTGACACATGTGTGTCTGGACCCCTCAGGCTCCTTTCTGAGACACTAAATAGTTTGGTATTTATAATCCAACCTTATTTTTAAGAATTTCCCTGAAATTGCTTAAGCTTTAGGTTTTCCCCAAACCTGGGCCCACCTCTCATAGTGGCCTATAATGCGTTTCACTGTCTGACTGCTGAGCCTCTTTGGTCCCTCACTCACTCTGCTCCAGCCACACTCAGACTCACCTCTGTCATTTCTCAACCTTGCCAGGCATACCCCAACCTCAGGACCTTTGCACAAGCCATTTATACCACATGGAAGGCTTGTCCCTTGTTATCTGCAAAGCCTACCCCCATCATTTCCTTGTGGCCTTATTCAAACATCACCTTCTCACTGAAATCTTGCTGATCACTCTACTTAAAGTCACACCCCACCACTTCTTCTCTTTACCTGCTGATCACCACCAGCAAGCTGTACTGTGTCCTGTGTCTATCCTTCCCACTCCTCTCCCATTGGATTGTGAGCTTTATGAGTGATATTTAGTTGCACTGGTTCAAGCTGCTCTTCTAGCTCAGGAAACAGTGACTGACACATACAGTAGGTGTTCTTTGATGTGTGAATGAATGAAACAAGTTTCTTATGGCTGCCAGCGCTGCTAGACCTTATTCAGGTTCCTGCAGCCCTGTAGTGCTTGCTTGGAGACTGGGTTGTCCTCCTAGAACCCTGTCTTGCGGTAGCAGTCAGTGACACAGAAGGTCATAGGCCAAGTATTAAGGGGATTATTTTGTTCCTGGGCCCTTCTGTTGTAGCTCATTTGCCTTCTTCTCCCTGGACATTGGTACAGCTTCATGTGGAGGTGTTATGAGGCATTTCCCTGAGGAGGGCAAAGCCCTGTTTCCAGTCTTATTAGGATGCAGCCAAATGCCAGACTGGAAGTTGGTTGCTGGGTGCTTAGGAGCCTATGAGATATGTATGCCTGATTCTCCTCTTAGGCCGGAAGCTTTGGAACCCTAGTGCCTGAGGTCACCTCTGTTTGATTCCTGCAGGCATCCTGCGAATCTCCTTGCTGACAGTGTCTGCTGCCTAAGACCCTGCTGACATTGCTTTCTTTTGGGAATAAGCATTGCCTTTCCTGAGATTTTCCTTACATGTCCTCTCTGTACATACATACCTACCCATACCTGCACATATGCATAAAGGCACACTGCTATGCATATCCTCACATACACACCCTGTCCACACACACATAGCTTTCTCCTGTCTCACTTTGCTCCAAAGCCAAGGACACACAGCCTGGGGAAGTGGCTTCAAGCCAGGGAATCCTCTGGATGAGTGATAATGTTTCCTTTTTCTCCTCAGCTATGGCTATGCAGCTCCCAGCATGCTGACCTTACAGCAGCAGCCTCTTGTCTCTTCCCCATGCCATATCTTTCCTACTCCCTCCTTTAGGGGACAAGAGGAAATATATCCAAGAGCATTTCCACTCTAGCATTTCAGGAAAGGACTGTACTACTGGGCTGGGAATTAGGCAAGCCAGGTCCTGGTGATCACTCTTCCTGTGGGCCTTTGGGTAAACAGATCTACCTCTTTGATCTTCCTGAGGAAAACTGGACACTTTCCTTTTAGAGCACTTACAAAATTTGACATGGTGCTTCATGTCAGGGGACAGGAGGAGGAAAGAGGGGGCATTAGGAAGAATCTATAGGGGGCAGAGTTAGGTCAGGAGGAAAGTAGGGTGTCAGGGGCACTAAAAAGGCAGGGAGATACCCTCATGCTGGTCCTGCTGGTTTCTCCTGGAGAGCAGGTCCCCTTTAGTGGCACCCAGGAGAGAGAGGAGAGAGAAAGTGCTGAGGTCTTGCCTACTTTGGAGTGGTAGGGAACTCCTTGTCAGTGGAAGCATGTTAGCATTTATTGGTTAGGTGTTGGGTACCTTTAGGGATGGAGTATAGTGGAGTTAGATTTGGATTTACCCAAGATGGTTCCAAACCACTTCTTTTGAGGAGCCAGTGGCATAGTGGCTACAGCCTGGATACAGTGGCAACTCTGGCTCTATTTTATCTTCTTGTCTTTGTCCCAAATATTTTTTTCCCTAGATCTTTCTTCTTTCTGAATTGTGTTGTCCACACATAGGTGGGCAACACCAGGACATCTCATGGTACAAGGGGTGACAGGATTGCCTCCCCTCTCCTCCCAAGGAGCCAAGAACTTCTGTGTTTTCTCTCTATTCAAAGCTCAAAGAGATGGAAGGCAGAGCTCCATGGAGGGGTCCACTGGTATTGTTCATCAGATGAGTGTGAGCCACTGATGTACTGCATTGGTGCTTGATGGTGCTCCATGCCTCTTTAGCTCATTCCCTCATCTGTAAATTGCACTGCTAATAACAGCACCTTCCCTGTAAGGTTGCCATAAGCAGCAAATGAGATGAGGCCTATACAACCCTAGCACAAGGCCTCGCACTTCCTAAGCACTTCTTAGATGTTCATTCATCACACTTGCTCTGCATTTTGACCCAGACAGTGTGGGCACATAGCTCCTGCCCTTGGGGTGTCCAGGCTGTCTGGGGAAGCAGGGTGGTGTGGCTGCTGCTGGGAGACATGATACCTAGGGGTTGTGTGCCCATGTGTTGTGGAGAGAAGCCACCCAATAGAGCTGGATTCAGAAAGGTGCTACTGAAAGGTATGTCTAATAGGATTCTGAAACACTGAGGCAGAATTGGGGGTCAGCTAACAGTAAGAAGAAACAGTGATTGGGCAGAGAATGACAGCATGAGCAGAGATCAGAGGCCTCAGCAGCCATATGTGTCCTATACTGGGGCAGATGGAAGGGAGGTGTGCAGGAGTTTGAGAAGGTCATGCAGCAGGACAGAGGCCATAGTGGGCACTTGTGTTTCATCATCTGCAGAAGGGGGTCAGCCATGATGTGTAACTGTGATGATAGGTACTGTGCATGGCACATGAAGAAAGGGTTCTGTCCACCCTGTGATGGCTTACAGCTGCATGAGGCAGGAAGAGTCTTTAGATATCTAAGGCAATGTAGAGCTGACACTGGCACTGTGGGGTCCAGCATCCCCTGACCTCTTCTCAGGGCTTCTGATGTAGGCAGAAGACATGAACTTCAGCTCCAGGCCTCAACCTCCATGTCTCATCCTCATTTAACCATAAACACCAAGGTCAAAATAACGGCTGCTGATCTTTTTGGCTTATGAGATGGTTAGTGAGTGAAAGGAAACACCAATCAGCTTCTCTGGCAGGAGAGCTGGCCCCAGGGGAGCATAAGCTAGGGAAAAAGGCGGCTGCCATACCAACCTCTTCCTGGGTAACACGGTGTCTGAGCCAGTCCTGACTTTGGGCCAATGACAGTCAGCAAAAAACATCTCTCATCTTTTCTTGCTTGTTATTTTTTTTTTTTTTTGATTCCAGTGTCCATATCTCCTTTCCTTAAAGCTACTGTGAAGGCTAGACATCTGGAGGAAAGTGATCACTATTGGACTCTCCTGGGAATTTTCAGGGTCCCCCATCAGAGATCAGAGTAGAGGCCCAACTGCAGATGCCTTCAAAGCTCAGCAGGTGACATCAGTGAACATAGCAGGTGGCCTTGGATGACAGTAGCAGGACTAAAGGGGGTGCCTGCTCTAGCCCTGACCAGCTGTTCTGTGGTTATAGTTGCTGGCTTTTCAAAAGCAGCTGAACAGCTGGACTTGGTGTGGGTACAAAGATCCTGCAAAGGATTATCCCCAGCCTGAAGACTGACTGAGGCTAAAGCTGAGGTCAAAAGAGGTCCCAGAGAGATGCCACCTGCTGGGTCAGACATTACATCCCTCCCCTTTCCCAGAGCTTACTCCATCATTCATAGACATGGGGACACCTCCAACAGGGGGATTGCCTCTTGCCTCCTCTTTCTTGCCTTCTGACTGGAAAATTGCTGAGCTGAGACACTACTTGAGAGTTGCCCATCCAGGTATCCTTCATTCATTCCTTCAACAAAGATCCAAGCAGCTACTCAGTGCCAGGATTTAGCAGTTCAGAACTGAACAGGTAGAAATGCAAGTGTATTCCTGAGAGACTTGATCTTGTCTTCTGAAGCTTAGGGGTGTTTGTGAGCAGGCAGTCAAGGAGAATTCCTGGGGTTAGAGGCCCATGGGGATCATGCATGCAGCTTGAAGGGATGGTGGTGTTGGGAAGGAGAGATGACGAAGTCCTGTGTTCCCTCCCAGTGTCTGAGGTCTGAGAAAGTAGGTGAAGGGCACTGATGTTTTAGGGGCTCCAAATGTTGAAGCAGGGAACGAGGAGCCTGTGGGGTAGCACAGTGACTGAGCAGTCCAGCTGAGACAACCTGAGCCTCTTGTGGGACTGGACAGTGGACCTACTATGAATAAGAGTAAGCCCACCTGTCCTCACCCCCATCATAAGAAGTCCACAAAGACACTTGGTTTTCTACTTCTGTCCCATCCACACCCTGGAAGAGTAAAGGTCCAGAAGAGACCAGGGTAGACTCCTTAGAATTAGATGTGAGTTGAAAAGTTTAAAACTGATTGAAATTGAATTTGAAATCAAACTGAACAGCTTGTTATTGACTGGCCCTAGATGTTGAGATGAGAAAAGAGGATTTGACAGCAGTCAGCTAAATAAAAACATTTCATGTTTCTACACTGCAGGTAGGAAAAATAAGTTAGTGTCCTCTGGGTATCAGGTCCTCATCTATGTCTTTCTACCTACTATTTAAAACTCATCATAACTCAGTAAAGGAGTTCCTATCATTACCTGTTTTACAGAAGAGGAAATTTTGGCAAGGACAGGTTAAGTGACTTGTCAAAGGTCACACAGCTGATGAACAGCAGAGTCAAATTTAATAATATGCCATCATGTGTGTTAGCAAGTTTAGTAACATATAGGCCAGTTGGAGCATAATTATGGCAGATCTGGGTTGTGGGTTGCCACTTTGAGGCCCATGGCTTGTCATGAAATGAGAATTCTGTGGAGAGCTGGCCGGCCCATGGTTTGCTTATTTATGGAACCTACAGATGGGTAGTCAGTCAATTCCTCCCCATCTCCACTTTACAGAAGGGAAGAAAGCTAAAGACTTGTCATGATTAATGGGCTCAGGCCTCCTGCCCATTGCTCTCAATGGCTTCTCACTTGAATTTATATCCTGTGAACCAAGCAGCTTGAAGGATGAAACTGCTACTGTGAATCTGAAGAGAAGGGAAAGAGCAGGGCTTTGTACTGGAGGTCAGACATCTATGTCCTCTGCACTGCAAGATTCTTCTTGTCCTGAGAAGTGCACCATACTGGATTTGGAATCAGGAGTCTGGTTTTAACCTGGCGCAAAGAACTCCCAAAGTGTCCAAGACGGGAGCGCTAACCAGGGTGCTGAACCTACCGGTATGCTGCTCTTCTTATAGCCTCACTGAGGGAACAGGGAAATGAAAGGGAAAGGAACCCTCACATTTTTTGTCACTCAGAGCCTCTCCATGACTGTTTTGGCCACTGTTCAGTGGAAACATCTTGGGACTTAAATTTAGGATTTATGCCATCTGTGACCCCCTGGGAAAGTCACTATCATTCATCTGCCTGGGCTTGTTTTTTCACCTTTTCAATGGGAAAGTATCTTGTATCCTTACTCAGAATGTCAAGGTGAGCAACATCTGGGCCCAGGTGACAGGTCCCTGTAGTCCAACCCTGGGGTCCAAATTAGTTCTTAGGAGCTCACACTCATGGAGGGCTTCTGGGTCTTTGTCCCCCACTGCACAATGGAGGTCTGCTGAATGGTTTCAGATACTCTTACCTGGGGGCTTCTATTGCAGTGGCTGCAGGCAGCAGTACTCCAGAACGTGAGGCACACTTTGTAAATAGGACCAATTTTGGAGTCTAAGATCATCTTGGGGATTACTCAGCACCTTCCTTTCTTACACACATTCTGACTTGTTTTACAGCTTCTGGCATGGATTTTGCTCAGGCACCCATGATCCTCATTAGACCAGGGTATGAGACATGAGCACAGCAGTTCTACTGAAAAGAACACTGGCTTCAGAATGAAGAAGCTGACCCAGTTCTAACATCCTTCAGGGATTATGTCTAGCACCTCAAGTGAGGTTGCCAGCAGTGTTGAACTTGAGTTTGTGAGGACTACATGAAGTAAGAAGCCAGCACACTGTGAGCACCAGGTAAATTCTAATTTTGTGCACTGGGAATGGCTCAAGTCTCCTCTCCTGCTGTCTATGAGTCCCATCTTTACCTCAGTAAAATGACCTTCATATAATAGCAGCTGATGCCCACTGAGCCCTTCACTATCCACTAATAATCCAATCCTCCAGACAAAAGTGACTGTCATTTTGCAGGTGAAGGCCACATACTGACAAAGAAGTGCCTGTAGTCATGCCCTTGCCTGCCTGACTTGAACATATTATCAGATCTTTCCAAACTATTTCTGGTTTAGAAAATGGAAGTAACTCTCATTATTGTTATAATTTGAAGATATAATGTATCATATTTAAAGATACACACTAGACACACGTGAGTGATCCCCAGGGGTAAAGGAATGGAGTGGATACTGAAGTTTAACCAGGGAAATCTTTCAGGGGGTTCTACCATGCACTTATCATGTGCTATCGGCCAAAGAGACTGATAGGCTGAGTTACTTGCATCTGATATCAGGGTGAAGGAAAAGTACAAAGCTTTTCAAATTTATCATAAACATGAATCTCACAGAGAACTTGTTGAAGTGCAGATTCTCATTTGATAATCTGGGAGTGTAGCCTGAGATGCTGCATTTCTACAAGGTCCCAGGTGATACTGTTGCCACTCATGAGCTCAGTCCAAAGCATTGTCTTCTCAACTCTGAAACTTGCATGATCCTATGAATCACAAGAGGAACTCATAAAAACTGGACATGAAGAACTGTCTTTGTGGATATGGGTTGGGGCGCAAGGTGTGGTAATGTGTACTTAGAGCAAGCATCTGAGAAGAGTTATGCTTGGGTAGGTAGGGCTGTGGTACTCACCTGTACCATGGCCCATGGTGCAGATACAGGAGCCTGGCTCACCAGATCACTATCCCAATATACCTTCCAGAAGGGAGGGGTGGTAAGCAAACCAGGATATTTTCCTAGGATCTCTTGCTGTTAAGGGTTTGCTAGATGATGCAGATAATCAAATGTATTCAATTAACCCTTGGATTAGACCTGAGCTGGAGGAGGTGGAGGTGGCAGTATGAAGGACATCCACTTTCTGGTATACATGCAGGTACTTTGCAATGCTGGAGTTCCTGCTCTGCTGATATGACTGCACTATTCTCTGGATCCTAACTTTTTAGCTAGAATATTTACTGCAGTTGAACCCCACAACTAACACTTCAGCAGCACCCTCACACTCCCTCATCCTCTCAATGTCATACTGTGATCCACAGCACATACTGTTTTATCTGGAACACAGCATTACCTGGCCACCCAGGGTTCTGTTAGACTAAGCTGCCAGCCTCATGATCCTTTATGTCAGGCCCGACTTTCTACTTTGCACACCTACCAGCACTGCCACCAGTAGAGTATTCAAAACTTCCTGGAACTGCTGTTTGTATCCTAGGCCTTGCCCTCATTACCCCTCACAACCAACCACCTTTTGCCTTTTGATCCACCCTCATGGGCAGATTCAGGGCCAAGCGCATTTGGAGTGAAGTGTGTCTAAGGGCAAACAAGACTGGGGCTAAGATCCCTGCCTGAGAACTTATCCTTTGAAGCAAAAAGCCCAATGGCCCCCAAAGCAAACAGCAAACTGGGGGGATGCATGTGGGAAATTCTTTTTCTCCTTGGTGGGAGAACTGCACCAAAGTAGATTAAGATTAGGTAGCAGAGAATATGAACTGTGCCACAGATTCTAATTTTCCTACTGTGAAGACACGAGTCAGTAACAAAATATCACTAATGACAGAGAGGTCACAGGAGAAGCTGTAAGGGTGTGTGGGATTTGCTACCCATTTCCCAACCATGTATCCACAGCCTCCATTTTGAGCAAAATACATTCTTGAAGTTGAGGTCTAAAGAGACTCTTCACTTACAATGGAGGCTGACAGAAGTTCATGACTGAGTAGATACACACAATGAGAAACAGTCAGCTCTAAGAATTGGAAGAGGAGAAGCCAAGGAAGAGAAGGTGGGCTACAGGCCAGTGCATCCCAGAAATAGTAGGACTGTCTATGGCATTTCAGTACCACAAGGCAGATTTTTAACTAGGTTTTCATTTTGTAAGTCACTGCATAAATAGTGAAATTTCAAACCAAGCAAGTGAATCTCACTAGATCTGAAAAGGTTACAGAACTTCCCTAGAGAAAGGATCTGTCCTGTATCACACTGAGCCCAAAGTCAAACCTAGTTCTTCTGCAGTTTACTGCCATCAAAGCCATAGTCTGCTCCCCAGGGTGAATGGCTCTGGTTACCGCCTTGTTTGGCTTAGGTCAAAAGATTTTTAAAAATGGACAAAACCACAATGAAATGACTTGATACCCACTAGGATAGGTATAAGCAAGAAAATGAAGAGTTACAAAAATTGGTGAGGATGTGGAGGAACTGAAACATACATTAGTGATGGAAATATGAAAGTATAGCTGCTGTGGAAAACACTTTGGCAGTTTCTCAGAAAGATAAACTGTATTACCAGCTACTCCACTCTTTGGTATATACGGAAATGAAAAGACGTGTCCACACAAAAACTTGTACATGAATATTCACAAGCAACATTATTTATAATAGCCAAAAAGTAAAAATAACCCTGCTATTCATTAGCAAATAATATATCCAGTCAATGGATTGTTTGGCCATAAAAAGGCAATGAGGTGGAGATACATGCTGTAGTATCAATAAATCTTGAAAATATTATGCTAAGTTAAAGAAACCAGACATAAAAGGCCACATATTGAGTGACTCTATAAGAATTGTTCAGCATAGGTAAATCTTTGGAGATAAAAGACACAAGGATTTGCCTGGGTCTGGGAGAAGGGTAATGGAGTGACTGCTAATGGGAACAGGGTTGTTTTTGGGGGTGGTAAGAATGTTGAGGAATTAGCTATGGTGATGAGTACATAACACTGAACAAATATATCACAACTCGCTGAGTTGTATACTTTGAAAGGGTGAACTTTATGGCTCTGTAAATTCTCAATAAAACTTTTTTTAAAAAAGAGGAACGGGTTTATTAAGGCTCTAGTTTTGGAGGTTTTATAGGACACATATTTGGAACATTGCTGCATGTTGCTGGTGATTACTCACGGCTGGAAGAAAAACAGCCCAAATCAAAACAATCACCAACAGCTTGACTAGGTCCTCAAGGTCCTGTTCAATGTTTCCCACCCCTACCCCACACACACACCCATAACACATTGCACTCTTCCTTGCTGTCCTTGTTGCAAGGAGACACACCAATAATGGCTGATTCTGCAGATGAATCACTACATTTTCGGTTTTCAAGAAACAGAATTAGGTATACATATGATCAGAATATACAGAAAATATATAAATTAAAAAAAATTCAGTAAAACACGTCAAAATAGTCAATACTGTGAGCACACATTCTATGGTTAGCCCACTCTCTGAAGCATTTCTGAAAGTTTTCTTTTGCATGTGGCTTTATGCAGTGTAACAAAAAAATATTGTGAATGGTGCTGCTAAGTGCCATCTAATGGAAAAGCACGCTCCGAAGAACAGTGTGGTGTGTCCTCCTCATCTACTTTATTCATCTGCTGGCACTGTGTCATTTCTGGCTCTTTTCCAAAGTCAAAATGCCATAAAAGGTAAATGTTTTGAATTGATTCAGGACACAGACATGCAATGAGTATGTACAACTGCCTCACAAAGTGATAAAAATGATAGGATAAATGTGTCTGAAGAAAAAAGGAGTATTTTAAAGCAAATTTTTCTTGGTGCCTGTGTTCTTTTGTAATGTCCAAATCTCAAGGAAACCCATGAGAACTTCTACATACCGATCCTGAGAGGTGGTGCTAGGATTCCATGCCTCTGGATAACTTAGGTCTAGGCAACTTATTGAAAACCGGTGCATGGCTTTGGGAACTGTTCCGTACACATTTTCCAGGATTTTGTAACTAAAGAGGTCATGCCTACTTCTCCAGCCAGTTTTGCCATGTCCTAATCTCTACACACAAATCCCCATAATTCTTCAAAAGGGAGTATATTGGGAATATTTAATGGTAATTTCTTTTACTGTACATTTTTTTCTAAAAACATTTATATTTTTTGATATCATGTATATGACTATCTTTTCAGCCTTTGCTACTAGAAAATCTAAATGGCGAATTTATTAAATTTTCTTTTCCTTGAGTCAGACTCCCTAAAGTTATATACCTTTATCTGTCTGATGTTTTTTCTAATGTTTCATTAAATGCTTAAAAAAACAGTTTTCATGAGCAAAATGCTCCAGACTGTTGTTTGCAAGTTGGTCCAAATTTCAAACAAAAACAATCTACCCTGCTGTTATTCCTTGAGGGAGAAGGTTATGAATAAAAATTTAAATATTCACTGTATATAGCATTCCTGTCTTTGCTCATTTTCTGGGCCTTTCTCCCCCAAAGGCTTCATGGTGGCTAGCCATGTTGCTGGAATCAGTTATTGCATTACTGCCTGACAAGGGGACAGCCAGGGAACGTGATCAGCTAGCCTGACCACCCAGCCCCAGCCCCACCTGAGCCTGGCCCTGCTAAGCAGAGAGGCAATTGTCAGATAGAGAAACTGATCTAGAAGATTTTCTCAGACTGGCTATGGTAGCCTGCTGCTGCCTACAAGTAAATGGGATGCCTAATTTGGGGAAAGGAATCTAGGGACTGAACAGTAAAAGACCCACACACAATTGAAATGTGGGCTGCCAAGTGCTTCACTTTTGTACCTCTTGACCTGGTGGTCTCTCTCACTGCAGCCTTGGGGATCAGCATGCTCATATGTGATAGACTCCGGCTGTAAAGGACCTGAAGAATGTCAAAGGCCAGAGGTTTCCGGACATAGAACACATCTGCAAAGTGCTGGACTCCCTGCTTTTAAAGTTCAACACCACCTCAGATGGGACATGTGCTCTTGGCCAGGCCACAGCAGAGATAAGAAACACAGTTACAGACTTTGTAGGAAGGTACAACAGAAGTCCTGAAAGTTCACTCTTTTACTTTTGCTCTGGCTCCTAAGGGGTATTGCCTTCCATGGGAAGAGGTCCAAGTATTTCAGAGCCTGAAAGGCAACTCCCATTTCCTCTGATTTACTTATGGGTTGTTCAGCAAGTTATGGGTAAAAAGTGAGATCAGGCTCCAGGTCTGCCCTGTTTTATTCCTCTGCTTATTGGCCAGTGCTGCCGAGGCACAGATGGTCCCAGAGCATAGCATGGATGGTCCAGAATGGTAGCTATTCAGGTATTTTGCCCTCATCACAATACTGCAGTTTTTTAACAGTGTGCCTATCTAGGTGAAAGTCACTGTGTGGCCTGTGGCATTTCCAGTCACACATTTCTATCTACATAGCATGACCAGGGCCCATTTTAGTGATGGAGGGAGTAATGGCAACTTACACAAGGAAGATCTGAGAAACAAGAATGGAATCTGAACAGAAAAAGACTAATTTAGTCCAACAAAGACTCAAACTTTGAGGTTACTTAACTGGGAGGAGTTGTTAACAAAGAAAAAAAGTGGGAAACTGGCAACGTGAATTTTGTATTGACATTTGGTTCTTAATAATAACATCCAAAATGCGTTCTGTTCTTATAGCGCTGCAACTGGGGCTGTACTGGGTGGAGAGTGTGCGTTGCTGGAGTCTCCCATAAGAACCAGGGAGGAGCTGGTGGTGAGACACACACTGACTTCTCTTTGTGACTTATGAGAGCCAGGTGGAAGACTGCAGCAGGTGCCTTGCCTTGGAGAATGGGTGAGGAGGCAATCCCAGCTGGCCTGCAAACACATGGGCAGAGTCACCCCCAGCCTACAAAAACATGGCTGCTGGTGGGGCCAGTGGTGGCAGCTACAGGAGTAGAGGGAAGACTGGGATGTTACATTCTTGAAACCTTCACAGGTACATGTCATCAAAGCCCGGCGGAGGGAGATGGTCTGGGTTGGGTCTGGAATGGAAGAAAGGGCTGGTGAGCTGGAGTGATGGGAGGCAAGGCATATTGGTAGTCATGACTCTACATGAGGAAGTCTATTCTCTGGAATGGCACAATGGCTTGTGGAGCTTTCAGTCACACACTATACAGACAGAATGCCTGAGTTTGAATCCTGACTTTCACACATTGGCTAAGTTAGCTAATGCTTGGGGTCTCAATTTTCACATCTATAAGATATGGACAGTACTATCTACTACCGATATAGATGCAATAGGCTTCTGACACATTCTTAACTCTGTGCTAGTTCCTCTCTCTCTTATCTTGAGGGGAATTGGAGGAAGGAGAACTGAAGGGATAGGGAGCTTTTGGAAGGCTCTAGGGAGACACAGGCAGGGTCCAGAAGCAGCTCCTCTCTCTAAACAGCCAGAGGTGGTGGCTATGCAGCTCTGCACCACATATCAGAGACCTCTGCTGCTGCAATGCCAAGATAAGCTGAGCTGTTATCAAGTTCCACTTTTCAGTCACCTGACCGGATACCTACCCAGAGGGGCTGGTCCCAATGGGTCCAAAGGGGTCAAATCGAGCTCCTGGAGGAACTGCACCTGGAGGAAGCCGGTTTGGGAGACCTGAGGATGGATCAATAAGTGCTCTTGGGAAGCCAGATCTCAGGGGGTCCACAATCATGCCACCTCTCCGGAACCTGAGGCAAGAAAGAAGATGGATAAGCAGCTACTGTATGGACTGCCCTTGCAGAATTGTTGAGCAAGGTGGGAAAGGACTCATAATGACCCGGAAGTCTACTCTGGATGGTCCAAGCAGACCGCCAGCAGAAAATGAGGAACAAGAATATGCACAGAATCCCTTCACTGGTGAGAGACCTGTGTACTTTGGGTTTTGTAAGGCTCCCCAAGTCTACAAAATTGAGATCTCTGCCACATGCTATATGCAAGGAATATAAAACAAGCATGTTTCACAGTGGTCCTTGGTACAGATCAACACTGACTATATTATAATGGCAATTATGTGGAACAAAAACTAAAAACTTCTAGAATACCAGTTCTGATCAAGAACAGGGGCTACAACTGACCAGAGTCAATGTGAACTGTCACAGGTTCTGGCTCTGTGGGATACTACTTTAGGCCTAAAGACTAAAAATAGCATGGAAACGACTCAGCAGGCTAGTTCTTCCACTGTCCTCAGGGCTTCAGGGCAGTTTAGACATTTTCTGGGCTGTCAAGTTGGGCTCCTGACGACCCCTGTCCTTCACAGAGTTCTGCAACCTCATGTGCTCAAACCAGGATGAATAAGCTGATATTTTCCTAATATTTGAATTGCAATGCAAACAAGTGATTTCTCCACTGGCTAAAAATGAGATGATAAATGTTGGGGTCACTTTGTAGCAGAGGTTAAAACAAATTTAAATCATTCAGACATCAGACACCACAGCTAAGGCTGTGTAACAACTTTGCTGGGTGCAAGACAGCTGTCATAGAGACTAAAAGGGCTCTGAGAATCTTAACCAAGTGAGGTAACCTTTGAGTCGCCTTATGTCTGTCATTCAACCTCACGTGCTCTTTTAAGCAGCACGTCAGTAAAACTTTACGCATATCCTTCCATCCAGGGAGACTCCCATCTTTGATGAGGTATGGGGGACTGAGAAATGACACTAAAGCTGCTTGCTGGGTGTGCCCAGTCCCCTCCAGTACTGAGTGCCCTTCTGCACTGCTCTGAGTATGGCAGAATACAGAAAGTGACAGTGACTTCCCAGCTGCTCAAAACACCTGCCTCCTCTGACGAAAGCTCTAAAATTAGAAGATGAGCTAGGGTTGAAAGCCACAGGTGCCACCTCTCCAACAATACTCACCCAAAGGGGTCTAGGTCTTCTCCCCCGACAGCAAAGGGGCCCAGGGGATCAGACCTGAAACAAATAAGGGACAATTACTTCAAGTCCCAGGGCACCAAATCTGACACCTGTGGGGTCACAAATGCACTCCCAAGCATGGGGACAGGGGAGATACCTGCATGAGAACACAACACAAAGGACACTTCACAGTGGTTCTTGTGCACATCAACATTGACTGTACTACAATTGCAAGTATGTGGAACAAAAGCTAAAAACATGGAGAATCCCAGTTCTATAGAAAGTAAAAATATCAACAGTGGTTCAGATATTCTGAAGAATAGCTAGGCATAAAGAATATTCTATATTCTACTCACAACTTTCTCAAATTCTGAAACTTTGTAAAAAGGAACCAAGAATTTTTACATCAGAAAAATATGACTCTAAAATCAAAATCAAAATCACAAAGCTAAGATTTAAAGTCTCCCAGGTGGAGTGAGGTAGAGGTATGAAGTCACATGCACTAGAACAATATTCTCAGTTTCTTGGTTCATTATAGTGCTCGTATGAGTTTCAGGACCACTCTACACTGTGTATCTATTTATTCTAGTCTACTGGATAGCTACAGGCTACAAATCTTTGAGATTCTCTTTACAGGAACCAATCTTTTCCTTAACTGAGAATGCCTGGGCCAAAGGAGTAGAAAAAAGTCTAGGTATAATTTATATATGTGTATTAGATAGATAACTATACTACTAATCTCTGTAAGTTCATCAAAAAGAAGTTTGTGTTTTTACTGACCATTTTTTTCATGCCTAAATCTTGTAATCTGAACAATTACTTTTAAGATAACAATATGCACTATATTAACTAGTGTTAATTTCCTACATTTTTTGAAGTTCTGTGTTGCTTTTAACCTTTTTTGTTTTTAAAATAAAAAAGAAAAAATACACAGAAAACGATATAATTATTTTTCAAAAATCTTAAGTATCTTCATATTCTGACCAATAACTTTATGCCTAGTTATCTATCTTCGAAGTATACAGAAATCAAATTAAAATATACCACAAAGACTTGTATCAGGGAAACTGGAATCTGCCCAAAAGGAGACAGATAGGTACATTGTGGTATAATCATATATACAGTCATAAAAACAACAGGAACAATGGTCTAAGAGTGCTTTACAACTAGATGTGGTAAGTATTCATGCTCTAGTGTAAGGGTAGGAAGAGGAGGATTACCAATAGCCTAGGGAAATCAATTCTAAAAATGTGGGTTTATGTGTAGATTTGAGGGCATATATGTATGAATAAAATACCAGAAAAATATTAGCAATGTAAACAGTGATAGTCACTCCTGGGGAGTTTCCTTTTTATACTTTCATAAAGGATATAGATGCAATAAAATAAGCAACATTTTGTATTTTAAAGTGTGTGCTTTGGAATCTGCTTGCAGCCCTGGTAAGCAACACAAACTTGACAGTTCTGGGGCAGAGGCAGGCCCTGCCAGACTAGGAAAGCTTTATATGTAGCAACTAATCTGAGCTTACAGGTAAGAAGCCATTAATTAGCAAACTGGGAAGAAATCCAAAAGTAAGCACTTCTTCAAACAGTTCCACCAAATGGGCTAGAAAAGATACTGCAATTGTGGTGTACAAGGCCAAGATGCCAAGGGAAGGAAATTTCTTCTGACTTAGGTTATCGCCCTTAAGCCATGGTTCATGCAGCAAGAAGTCACCATTTCCAGAGGCTGCCAACATCTGACCTCTGACCCTTAGCCATGGTTCATGCAGCAAGAAGTCACCATTTCCAGAGGCTGACAACATCTGACCTCTGAAGACAGGTCAAGTGGTACGTGTGTGCAGTAAGCATTCACCTAACTCCTTGAAGTGATCTGGCAGAGCAGTAGACATAAAGGTTTCTATTGTCTGTTAAAATACCTGGGAAGGGGGGGGGGGGCTGGAGATTTAGCTCAGTGGCATAAGCGCCTGCCTTGCAAGCAGGCAGTCGTGAGCTTGATCCCTGGTACCGATAAAAATGAGAAAGACAAAAAAATAAAAATAAAATAAAAAAAATAAATAAAATAAAATATCTGGGAACGAAAAGCCTGACTGCTCCTGCATTGGGCAGACATTTCTATTTTTCTCTCTGGAAGGGAGAGGAAATAGGAACAAGGATAGAAAGACAGCTACAAGGTCCAGACCAACAATCTGTATACTCGAAATTGTCACAGCATATTCTATACGCTCTCAACACAGGTTTGCTGTAACACACAAAACACTTTTAGGAACTCATTATGTGCATGCTTAGAGTTCATTTAAAATGAAGAGCCCAGAGAGTCCAACTTCCCATAGCTCCAGTGGCTAAATATTAGTCTTAGACATACTGAATAAGGTTCCAGGGAATTGAAAAATCATTTCTATTCAGGGACCCTCAACTTAAGGCCCACTCCATCATCTGGTAATCAACTGAAGGAAAGAGAAATCCATTCTAACCCTTGAGGAAAAAAGAAAGGCTGCGCCCATTGGGGCAGGATGTCCCTGCTGCAAAAGTGGTCCTACTAAAGGGCTGGATGTTGACCTTCATCACACAGGGTTCCCTCCTTAGGCATAACCCTTTTGTCTTACATGAAACAACACCTCAGCACAGAAGTGGATGTGGCTTGGCAAACTTAGAAAGGTCTCAGGACAAGGAGGCAGAAGTATGTTCCAACTTTGGGTTTGGGATTATCTAGCTGGCTTGTCATAAAATCTCTGTACTTCAGTCTTTTAAGATGTAAAATCTAACAGTAGCACACACAGGGGCTGTTCAGATGATGGACGACAGTTTTGGACATAAAAAGACTGGTTGACAGGAAATGCCTGAAAGAACGGACAAACAGCAGCTACCATCATTTACCAGGAGGTTGCTTTATGTCAGACTTGTCAAATTTAATTTTAACTTTAATTTTTAAAAGAAGTTTTCATTTTATTTTGTAAAGGGTACATCTTTCCAAATATGATAGGTACATCAATATATTTTAACACTTCCAAGCAAGACCCTGCTACAATCAATACCCCAGTATTTCTGCAAAATACATGAATATTTACACTTGTAGGATAGCTAAAGATATAAAGAGCTTCCTGCCACTTCAGGTTAGGTCTGCCACCAGTGAGTTCTGGCACCAACCTATGAAACATTAGCTTTACAGATCACTTTTTATTTTGGAATTAAAGACAAAAAATATGCATCTTTAATGGTCAAAAAAGCTATTATGCTTGTCCCCTAGTCCATCAGACAAATAACACCAGTTTCTTGTATTTTCTTCAAAGATACTGTGCAGACAGGAGCAAGTATTATGCTTCCTAATTTTTAAATAAATGGATCTGTTGATCACCTTATGTATGTTATTTTATTTCATGTTTGTGGCAGCCCTGAATAAGTTTTATTATCTTCTCTGTTTTAAAAATGAGGATGCCAGGAAACAGGCTCAGAGCAGCTACAGATATTTGTAAATAGCAAAGACAGGAGGCACACTACACCTGCCCAACTCCAAAATTCATCCATATTATTTTACATGTTGAGGCTATTCACCTTTAATGTGATTTTTAATATGTTAGCATTTTACTGTTTCTTCTATTACTCAACTTTAATTTTTTAACTATTATTTATACAGATTTTATAGTGATTGCTCAAGAGATTTAACTATACGTAACTTTTCAGTCTCCTTAGATATAACATTTTATCATTTCAAGTGTAAAGTAAAACCTTACCAATGCATACGGATTCCCCTTAATTCTTCCCATTTTGTGTTACAGCTGTCATGTACTGTAGTGCACTGAGAATTCTACCATACACTGTCATAACTTTTGCTTTCAATGATAAAACATATTTTAGAGAACTCAAGAGAATAGTCTCCTCTACCCAAGTAGTCCCCATTTCTGTTGCTCTTCCTTTTATATTTGATGACACGTTTCTATCTCATTTCACTTCTCCTCTGATGAATATTCCTTTTAATTCTTTTTAAGAAGATCCATTGGATTCTTTTAGTATCATTTCACTAAGACAATCTTACTATCCTTCAGAAATGAAGGTGAAATATTCATTGGATGTAGAATTCTGGGTTGGCAATTTTTTTCTTCTTCATACTTTAAGAATGTTGTTTTACTTCTGTTTGGTCTCTGTGGTTTCTGATGAGAAAGATGCAGTTAAATTCTTATTTCTCAATGCATTTTTTTCTAGCTGCATTCAATACTTATTTTGTCTTTAGCTGTTGGTAGTTAATGATATGTCTAGGCATGGACTTCTTTAGTATTTGTCAAGTAGTTTTTTTTTTTTGTACCAGGAATGGAACTCATGAACTTGCACTTGCCAGGCAGGCACTGTGCCACGAGTCCCCAGACCATTCCTAAGTGTTCTGGATCTCTTGGTTGATTTTATTTACCAAATAGAAAAAGTCAGCCATATTTAAGTATTTCTTCTATATTGTATTTTTTCTTCTTTCATGGGCTCCCATAGCCCCGGTGTTAGATTTTTTTTTTTTATAACTGATCCACAGGTTCCTGAGACTATTTCTAAATCTTTTCTCTCTGTTGTTCAGTTGAGTAATTTCTATTGATCTATCTATTACCGACTCTTCAAATAATTCTACTACTGATTCAGTAGGTTAGGTGTCAATTTTGATTAACACCTGGTTGAATGAATTTCCATTTAGTTTTTCACATCTTCTGTTTATTTTCTGAGATGTTCTGTTATTCAATTTATTTCAAAGTTTGCCCTTGCTTCTTGTACTATTTTTATAATAGTTAAGGTCTTTGTCAAGATGATTCCAACATCTATGTCAACTTGGTATTGGTGTGCATTAGCTGTCTTTTGTGTAAGCTGAAATTTTCTTGATTCTTTTATGTCCAGTTTTTTGGAGGTTATTCCAGACATGTGGAACATTTTGTTGTGAAGCTTATGGAGAATACTGGTTTTTTGTTTTAGCAGGTAATCAACCCAGTTGAGTCTGAACTCCAAGTTCTGGTTTCAAAGTCAGTTCTGCTTTGTAAAGGCCTTGTGCAGTACTAGGAACTGTACCATGTATGTGCTATCCAGTGCCCAATCTGAGACTTGGACAGTGAGCTATCGTGTAGTTCCACTCTTAATGTTTGGTAACAGTATTTAGGGTCAGATCCACTTATGTATATTTTCTCCTCCACAGCTTTTTAGTAAGACCAGATTTCCTTGTACAACTTCCTGGGATTCCTTCTGAGCCCTTCCCTCTCTATAATCTCTTTGGTATTTTCTATTTCTCTGGGGGCATGTTGTTGGTGGTAGTCCCATTTTTGGTTCTTTGTCAGAAAGCTGGACCTTCTGTGTATAACCCATGATTACTTCTGTCTGGAATCAAGTGGGATGAGGATACATGGAGGGAAAAACAAAAACAAAAAACATATAAAAAACCCCACCAACAGTAGGTTGCTCTTGAGACTATACTGGAAAGGAGGTCTTGAGTCCCTTATAAGCAGTGTTTGTACATTACCATAGGCTGAGGAAAAGGAAAACAAACATAGGAGGCTTTCCCTCGTCTCTCTGGACATTAGCTAACCAACCTCTTCATATACTGTTAGCCTGAAGTGCGGTTTGTCTAGGAGCACTCTCCTGCCATGTCAATACCTCCTGCCTTATCCTTAAGTTTAGACTAGAGGATGTTGGAGCGGAACAATGTCGAGTTCACTGCCTGCTTGGTGGTACTTCTAGCTCTGGTATTCTCCTGCTTCCTGTCTGAGACCTTTTCAAACAGATATCTCAAACATTTTACATGAAAGTTGGGATAGGCTGTGCTTACTGAAGACCAGATTCACTTTAACCAGTGCAGACCATAATATGGCTGCTGGTCTGAAACTACAGATATTACCAGGGGCAAGCACAACACTCTGCTTGCATTGTAGGTTTCTCTAGGCATAGTGACTGAGGTTTCATGGGTGACCAGTAGTGATGACCTGAGTTATATCCGGATCCCTTATCTTGCAGCATTGACTCAGCTAGCACTGCTACTCAAATTCTCATGAGCACATGAATCCAAGGAAGGGCTACCTTGCTAAAATGTGAATTCGAATTCAGAAGATCACAGGTGGGATCTGAGAATGCAGTTTCTCATCTTCCAGATATTCTCACATCACTGGTTTGGGGATTACAACCTTTTAGGCTCCTTCCTAATCAATGTTAAAGATTAGCTCTGAAATTATAGTGGTCTACGTTTTTTATCTTGTTCTGCCACCTATGGAAAAGTGTGATCAGGAAGTGGAAATGCTTATAACTGGAGAAGAGTAAGTGTACAAGTACAGCATCTGCCATAGCATCCTGAGACGCAGGGAAATCATCTTTTCCTCCTTTCTACTCGGGATATCCTGAGTTTGAAGGCAAGCCAGGGGTCAGTAGGGCTCAGAAATACTGCATGTAGGTTAAACAACCAAAGATTCTTAGAAGAAAGATACATAAATTATGCAGAAAAAATTTATAAATCATTCAGAAAATACAAACATTACCTTAATTTGATTCTAGCATAATGATTATTTTGCTACTCTCTCCTAGTCTTCTTTCATAAGCATATTTTTATTCCATTATAATTTCAACTATAACTATAATTTTAATGATTTCCTGTAGGTAGGATTCCATTTCTCAAGTTATCTTTGCTACTAACGTTTTTTAAAAATAGAATGTATAAGTATTTTATTCCCTAATTACTACATACTGGTTATACAGATTAATCAGTTTCATTTTGGTAGACAGATACATACATATAATACATTTTGATCATTTTTGCCTTCCTCATTCTCTTGTCCTGACCTCTTCCCTAGTTGCTATTAACTTTTTTAATAGGCAAGAAATAACACTTAGGTAAAGTGAAATTTTAAAATTTACTTCATCTTCCACTGCAGGTACTGATACTGTTTCTGACATGGGTGTTCAAATGTGTAACCATAAATAATGTCATGGCTATATGATGGCAGCAGTAGGAGCAGATAACTTACTTTCTTGGTCAACTAGCACGAAGAAATTTTGCTTCAGGAGGCTCATTGTACCTGATTTTGATGATGAGATTTGGCTCCTTTACATTAATAAAATGTAGATAAGATTTTCAACTGAGTTGACACAACAGTGAGCTAACTCTTGGGGATCTTGGAGGAGGAGATGTATTTGCATTTGAGAGGACAGAGGGTAGACTTTAATAGGCAGAATTTGGACCTTCTCAAGATTCCACATCTACTAATCCCTTGAACCTGCTGAAGTGATGTGAAAGCACTTGTGATTGCTTTGTTATATGGCACAGCTGACCTCAAAAAGAAATGACTACCTAGAAACTGTAACAGTGAACTTTCTCAGCCTGGTGGCAGAAGAGGAAGGCTAAAGAGGGGGCTGGGATATCAGGACGTCTTAAAACAACATACTGGCTCTGAAGGTAGAAGACAGCACATGAAATGTGAGAGGTCTTATGAAGCTCAGGGGGACAAATGTGATTTGAACTGAATGAAATGAATTCTGCCAGTGATCCAAATGAACTTGGAAGTAAATTGTTTGCTAGAGTCTTCAGAAAAGATTTTATACCTGCTGAAACTTTGGCTTTGGTCTTACGATATCCTGGGCAGAGTCCAGCTGAATATATACTACTACTGACCTGAACAACTATGAAAAAAGTGGATATAATTTTAAGCTAGTAAGGCTGTACCATTTCGTTATGTAGCAACAGAAAATTAACACATGTATGTTCTACACACCTTTCCCAGGGTACCTGCCTTATAATTTGATTTAAGTTAGCTTATGAGTATTATAAAGATATAAATTGTTTATTTATTTATTTGGGAAGGGTCTCTCTAAGTAGTTCCTTGAACTCACTATGTATCCCAGACTGACCTCAAATTGCAAAGATCCTTCTGCCTCTGCCTCCCAAGTGCTGGGATTATAGGCATGTGCCATGCTGCCCAACTATGAAATTTAAAAAGAATGCAGAAGACAAACCTTTGGAGCATTTTAAAAATAGAGACACAGAATCTCTATGTCTCTATGAATCTATACATAGAAACACACAATGATCAGGATCAAAAAATGAATTTAAAATTCCAAATAAGAATGATTACTTCAAGATTTATTTTCAGTGAAGCTGGTTAAGCATAGGAAAAATTCATTTTTTCAAAACAAGGTACGGTATCTGGGGCAGACAGTTCCCTGACTATCTAAGGAACAAAGGGAAGTTGGTTAGACTTATAATGAAAATAGTAAAAAGTTAGGCTTAAAAGAAGACCAAATAAAAAGTCCTACAAACAAACAAGAACACAAGCCTTCACCTACAGATAGGTTGCTTTTAGTGACTGTTTCCTAGTCATTTCAGGAACAGGACAGACCCACTGTCTACCTCCAACCCTCCCTGCAATGCACTGCCCTCTCTAGCTCTATTCCTCATGCAGACACACCCGGTGTGAAGTGAATAGCTCATTCTCCCTGACACAGGACACTGCACTTAGGAAAACAAATCTCTTTATGTGCCAGGGCAGATGCTCCAAATTCATTTTGCATTTGGAGGTTTTCAGGTAAAATGTAAATATGGAAGGTGAGAGATGAGACACAGTTCTGTGTCCTATGGGAATGAGGAGAGGTAGTTTCTGCTGCTTGGATCATCAAACCTCACTGTTTGGGCATGGGGTAATTTATTTCATGTCTAAAAGTCCTCAATTTGACCACTGTCTAGGGTTAGGCGTACTCTGATTATACCACAGGAAGGCATTTCAAAGGGAGTAAGGACACCTGAATGCCAGCCCTGATTCTGCCTCCGTATAGTGACTGGTAACCTTAGGGTATCTTAGCTCTGTTCTCAACTTTTCCAATCACTTTTTATTGTTCTCAATGTTATCTACGGGACCCAAATTTTTAAAGATTTTGCCAAATAGAATTGACAATTATTACTTACAATAAGTTTTCTCTATTTTTACTAACCAAAAGCATGTAACTGCAAGCCAAATAAAGTGGTAATTAACTTTACTGAGTGCTTATGTATGACACACAGTGAACCCTTCTTTCTAATTCTGTCAACTTCACATTTACCACTGTATCATGGGCCTCACACTGGCATATGTTATCTCAACTACAGACTAAGGTTTTTGGTCTTTGTTCCTTCCTCCAGTGCAGAATCTTCCAGTCCTAATGTTGCCGTCCTGAACAACAGCAAAAACCTTGGACAGCCAGAGCACTCTACCAGTTACTGTGAGTCACCCAGACAGCAACTCTACACTACTGTACACAGCCCCAGAGAACTGGCCCTGGGAAAGGAGGCAGGCAGCCTGAGATGCTGGGTAGACAGGGTGACTAGAAGCAGAGAAAAACTCACTGATCCACCTATGCCCCCATTTTCTCTTGCCACATACCAAAAGCTTGGTGATTCTATTGAAGACACCTGGGGGCCAGGAAGGAACCAAGTGGCAAGATGTGGAATGGATATGGGGGTGCTGCAGAAGCATGGGCTGCCCACTTGGGCTCTCTGTACTTACCAGGGAGGCTGCCGGCTGTTGTGTGGGTGGTGTGGAGGAATCCGGAGAGGGTCTACCTCTCTGGCGGTGGCAGGAGGGAATTCCCGATGGGGACTGCTTTCACTGGCCTTGTTCCACTGCTCATGGATAGGTGTGATGATTCCAGATATGATGCGAGACCGAAGCTCCTCACTGTTCTTATAGGTCCTATAGGAGGTAGATGGGGAATCAACAGTTTGCTGTTGGCTGTCAACCATGGATACAGTATTCTGGCGGCGGCGACCTGGGCAGCGGCAACCTGGGCAGTGGCCCTGACGTTTCTCAGACTGAGCTTGGCCTGTCTGCAAGGGTGGCAATGGGCCATCCAGTGGTGGACTTAGGTGATGGGGGACAACTGCTCGGCGCTGTCTCCTTGATTTGGGCCTGAGCTTCTTAGGCATCTGAGTTGCCCCTTTTCATTTACCACCCCATTAGAAAGAGGTAAGGGTGTAGGGGCACAGGGCTGGACTGGCTGCTCCTCTGTCCCCAACCCTCCCTCAGCTCCATTGTGTGCTCATCACGTGTCATGGGAAGGGTCATGGAAAACAAACGCTCCATTGGGAGGATGAACCAGGTTCCTGGTCAGGGTAGGCAGGGTTCCAGGGCTCAAGGTCAGTTCTATCAATAATCCAGGGATCCTCAGAAGATGACCCTACTATTTGTCTCATCCTGCCAGGGCCTATTTCCTCTACTTGTGGGAGATGAACAATATGAGGTATAGCTGAGCAACAGGTAGTGGTCAGGACTCTAAAAATCTGGTAAATGAGTCATATCATGGGCTATAAAGCAAACTTCACAGTAAAATCATACAGAATGTTCCCTGACCACATGGAGTCATACTAGGAATCAAAACAGAAAGGAAGTCCTTGAAAATATCAACACATTTCTAGTTAATGCAAGGATCAAGGAGGAAGTTCTGAAAAAATTGTACAGTACTAAATTAAAAAAATTCACTTATTAGAATATGTGGAATACAGCTAAACCACTGTCCAGAAGAAACTTAATAGCGCTGAATGCTTATATGTGGAAAGAAGATCTCAAATCATCAAAACTCTGACCTCAAGAACCTAGCAAAAAAAGAAGCAAACAAACTTGAAGCAAGTACAGTGGGGAAATAAGAGCAAAAATCAATAATGTTAAGAAAAGGAAAATAGAGGAAACTAAGGGAACAAAAAGCTAGTCCTTAAAAAAATGGATCCAAAAATCTCTAGTAAGATTGACAAATAGGGAAAGAAAAAAGACAAAAGATTTGTAACTACTGAATCCATAGTAAAGCAGAACTCAGAACTCTGTAAAACCTTCCCAGTTCAGGAAAGCAACTCTTCGGGCAGCCTCTCCCTCAGAAAAGTGGACTTGTGTTTTCTAACTAGGTCCTGTGCTTTTCTCACTGATAAGGGAGAAACTTTCAGGTAGTTCTCTCATGGGAATCTCTTCTCTTAGAGAGGGAATACTGGGTACCAACATTAATCAAACTAACAAATGGGGTTATAAACAAGCTTCACAGCATCCTAACATTCTGAGATGCACAGGATGTTTTTTTCCCAAGGCTAAAATAGAGTTAGCTGTTGGGATGACTAACTGCCTTTGTTTTCCTTCTGTATCTCCACTTGTTTCATGTCACTAATTGTATAAAAGGGAACTTCTCCTTGGTTCAGAGCCCAGACTAGTTTTAAGCACCTAGTGGCTGGGAGGGTGCATTATTAAAGTCCTCCCCAAAAAAATCCCTGTTGGTCTTTCCAGTTTCTTAGAAATTCTACAATAGTAAGAGAATGCTAAGAATGACTTAGCATTCAACAATTAATTGTTTAAAAAACCATAAACTACAACTCAGTCAAATATATAATCTGATTATATAAATATATAATCTGAACATTTCTAAAACTTTCAGTGAAATATTAATTGAATAACATGTATAAGCAATTTGTATAAATGTACAAAATATATAAATAAAAATGTCTGAATAAAAAAATGTATAAACAATGAATAAAGCTGGGCATGGTGGTTCATGCTTACATTTCTAGAATGAGGAAGGCTAAGGTAGAAGGATCCTTTTCAGTTTGAAGCCACCCTGGGCCTCACAGTAAATTCAAGCTAGCTTGAACTACATAGTGAGACCTTGTCTTGAAAAACCACAACCAAGTAGGATTTAGCCTAGATATGCAAGGCTGTTCTAATATTTACAAATCAATATAATATATATCAATAAACTAAGGAAAAAACCCCGATGATTATATCAATTGATACAGAAAAAGAATATTTAACAAAATCCAATATGGTAAATATTTATGATTTAAAAAATTTACAAAAACTAACAATAGAGGGAAGTAAGAATTGAGAACTTCCTCAGCGTAATAAAAGTATCAACAAAAAAAATATATAAATATATTTCATGGTAAGACAATAGTTTGTCTTTGATAACTGGAACAAGCAAGTCTCACATCATGCTTATTTAACGTAATATTGGAACTCAGAGGCAGCACAAGAAGACAAGAAACATAGACATCAAAAAGTAAGGAACAAATCGGGCATGGTAGTACATGCCTGAATCCCAGTACTTGGGAGGCTGAGGCACGAGTGTTGTGAGTTTGAGACCAGTCTGGTTACAAACTGAACTACATAGTGAGAACCTGTGTCAAAAAGACCAAAAAAAAAAAAAAAAAAAAAAGGAATAAAACTGTCTTTATTTGCCTGTGACATAATGATTTACTTTGAAATTCCCAAGGAAATCTACCAAAAAACTCACTAGATATTTTATGGCAATGGAAATTAAAACCATGATAAGATATCACTATACATCTAACAGAACAAGAAAAATTTAATTACTCTATTATACTAATAATATTTAATAATTATTATACTAATAATATTTAATAATTACTATATTATACTAATAATATAAGATGCAGAAAAACAATCACTCATAACTAGTGGCAGGTACAAAGTGGTAAAAACATTTTACTTTCTTATAAAACTAAATATGAAATTGTCATTGTACTCTGGATAAATGAAAATTAAGATCACACAAAAACTTGTGTATGAATGTTTACAGCACCTTTATTGATAGAAGTCAAGATCTAGAAACACCCCAAATGTCCTTTGACTAGTAAATAGTTCAACAGTGGGACATACGTACTATGAAAATACTACAGAGCCAACATGAGATACAAACTATTAATACACACAACTCAGATGTATAATTACATCTAAGTTAGTAACTGGTTGTAATGTTGTAGTATAGTTTTGTATAATGGTACCTTTGGAGTTAAATATACAAAGGCCAAAAAAGGTCTGGTTTGTCTGGATGTTCCCCCAAACCCTCAAGCATTCATAGGGGGCTAGGCTTAGTGGGTGGCTGAATCTACTTTGTGACTGGTTCACTGTCTAGTGCTGGGATGTGAGTACTACATGTGCCCAAGGGAAAGTAGCCTGCATACAATAAGGACAGAAAAGAGGTTTGCTTCTCTCCGTTTGTTCTTGATGCTTTTGCTGTCTTCTGCCATTCCAGGTACCATAAACAGTTGCCCCTCTGCCATGTCACGCTACCTTAGAGTCAGCCAATTAAGAACTGGAACCTCTGCAAACTGTGAAATAAATAAACCTTTCCTTCCTGAGCTTTGGTTGTTAGGTATTTTGACTCAACAATGACAGGAAAGTAGCTAACAGTCTAGTATTTCTTACAACTGCAAGTTGAGTCTGTAATTACAGGATCTCAAAATAAAAAGTTGAATTTAAAAATACTTTTATGTATCACCATAAAATAACAAGGAGGATATGGAGAAACAAGATGGATGAGGCACAGGACCTCTATTCCTGCACTGATTCGTCTCACCAGACCAACTCCACTCTTACTAGCACAGTATGTCAATCCTGAAGAATGCTATGTATGAAGAAAGAGTTCCACAGTTAAGAAGCATAACTACTTCAATGGCTTGGAAGCTCTACGACTTGTTGCTCATATAAACCGGCACAGATCAGGTTCCTATGTGGTACACAGAACCTGGGGGTTCTGTCACTTCCCTGCCCAAGCTGGTGGGGAGAAATGTAACACCCATTCCCTTTCAATCAGATGAACTGAGAGTGACACAGGTGGAAGGCCTCTAAAATCACCCAGATATATGTTTACTTACAGAACTCAGCCCTGATTTAAGAACTGTCAAGTCCTAAAACAGAAGTTCTTACATAATTTCTAAGCCTTGGTAGAGCAACTATCATTTTGGTGTGGCAAAAGCCTCTCATCCTGTCTGACATAGAAAGGGCATGGCAGGAAGGAACAAAACAGGTTTAAACTCCTTAGCAAATCCAGTGTGCCTCAAGGGGTACAAATTCTTACCAAAGGTAAGTGAGACACCACAGTGACCACACAGTGCTGCTGCCTGGGAGCAGAGGAGGCAATCCATAGCCCAGCTCTAGAGCCTCAGTTTCCATGGAGATGATTCGTGCCAATCAGATTTGTTTTCTCCTTTGTCTGTTACTAAGAGTTAGGCCTAGCACTAAACGGTCTACGCACTACTTTCCATTCAGTTCCGAGAACAGCGCTCTGTGGTGGTTACTTATTTGTCCCTCACTTCATGGATATCAAAAAGAAAAACAAAGTATCTTCCCCTCAAACATATGCAAACCCCAATAACAAGTGGATTTTAAAAAACAAATGAGACACTATCACAACCTTCTTTCAGCACTGCTGGGGGCACTAAATGCTCTAATGAGCATAAACTGGCTGGTAAATGCCTGGGTTCTTCCACACTTTTGTCAACTTCTCTCCTAGTGGAATTTCAGGATGGTATCAAACATCACACTCCAAGCTCCTTCCTCTGTCCCAGTCACAGTGTGTAATAGCCAGAAGAGTAGCATTCTCTGCAAAGCCAGGCCTGGCTTCATTTCCCCTCCTCCTGCCTTCATCTACACACACGTGCATCACACACGTGCATCCAACCCACCACCTCCATCTGCAGGCTTTTGTAATTTCTTCTTAATGTCATAATAAATATTTTTTAAAAAGGAAGTTTCATTATATATATTATAAACCATACATATATGTGTGTTTGTATATGTAGATACATGTACAAGATAATTACTTTTTTACTCAGTGCAGCCTAGGCAAGCCAAAAGGTTGGATACCCATGAGTCTATGACACACAAAACAGACCCAAGCTCTACCCTCAAAAAGA